GAAGATGGACGGCTCAGATTTGCGTTTTTCCACTTCCTACACCCTATACTATACCCTATACACCCTATACTATATATACCCTATACTATATATACTATATATACCCTATACTATACACCCTATATTAAAACTTATTCCATTGGATTCCTGAGGAAATTTGGGTTCCGTATACGCAGATGGACGGCTCAGAATTGCGTTTTTCCAACGTCCATAAAGTTAGCGGAGCAAGGTCAAAAAATGTTTTTTTTTTGTCAAAATTATGTGCTTTTTATGTGTTTTTTGGTGCTCGAACAAAAAAAAATGGTGCTCCATCCCTTCGGGAATTAGGGGTAAGGGGTGGAAAATAAGGGACGTCAACTAAGGGACTGGTAACTTTATGGACGTCAATATATTCTATTAAAGAAAAATCCTATGAAAAGATATCATTAAAAAATCTAGCATTCACTGAAAAATTCTATTGCATTTCTTTAAAGCTTCTATTGCAATGCCATTTCTATTGGAAAATTGCAGAAAATTCTCATAGATCTTGAGATTTCCTGGATAAACAAGACTAATGTTTGGAAATATGTCGGTGGCAACTAGAATGCAAATATTATACGCAGTAATTTTTTGCAAGGCTCAAAAAATTCATCCTCATTCATTCTAAAAATGGTAAAAAGTTAAGATGCATTCAAGTCCTTTCCTAATACGTTTTCACAATTTCGACAATTTAAGAAAAAGGCAAAAGCTTGTCAGTTTACGCCTTTGTGTCTAAATTAAAGACATAACTTTCCCCACACGGAATTTTTCATAAGTTCCTCCCCTATGCCCTCCAGTTTCGGCGATATTTATCAAAAACGCCCCCTCAAATTGAGCCCATTTATCAATTTTGCTCACACTTCAGTGTTTACGGAATACATTGGGAACGAAGGAGCAATATTATTACGGTTATCTCTTTTACAGCTTAATTATACTCAACCACTAATGGTCTGAAGATATTGTTTGTTACAGGGGGTGTATATTTTTTGTAATTTCACCCTAGGAGTTCATTCAGCTCCGAAAAAACCCTTCTAAAATGCCCATTTCCCTCAGATTCGAATATATTCGCCAAAAATCAGATGTTGAATGGACGCATGTTTATTATTCCACTAATTTGCTACCGACCGTGAGCATATCAGTGTGATTATCCCAAGGTTTCCATGGCAAACAATTGACTCTGGAAATTCCCTCCTCGCAAATCGCATCGACATGAATCAGCAAGAAGGCGTTATCCCCAGTGAGACATAAAATCCCCTCATAAAACATCATCGATAATCAATTCAATTCGCATTAATCGCCAAGCCCGAGTCTGTCCCATTTGTACGCGCGTATTTCCCGTATGATTGGTACTCGAGGTGGCTCAGTACGTATGCCATTGTCCAGAATTGTTCAACACGTCAATCACCGTCGGACCATTCCGTAGAACAATGAAGTAGTGCCGGGGGATAATTGTCGGTAGCCGGGTTCACTCGGCAATAAACGGACTATTCACCTACGCTAAGTCACCCTTCATAAACAGTTTCCATACGAGTACTTTGCCGATTTTGTTCACGTTTGAATTCTTTGAAACATTTGTATCAAAAGCTTCCACTCAAACAACATTTGGCCCTCAACTATACAACATTTTCCAACAATTTTCAAATCTTAATAAACAAAAAATCTATTTTTTGTTTATTAAGACCAGTTTTCAATGAATATCGCAAAATCTAAGGGGGATAAAAAAATTTTTGTCACGAACTTTTTTATAGCCCTCAATTCGCTCTACTAAAAAGTCCCTCACGAAAATTGCATCATCTCCCTTAGATTCAGAGATATTCATAAAAAACTCAGCCGAGTTTTTTTGAAAAATAAATACTTCTCTCACGTAAATGAATATTTGGAAAAATAGCCTTTTCTCTCAGTGTATGACCCGCATGGGGGCGTGTTACACTCCTCCAATCTAACAGCCTTCACTTAATCCCAAAAAAAACCTTAATACACTCATCGACAATTAGGCCAAAAGTTCTTGAAAAATATGAGGAGCACGTCTGCCACATAAATTTTCCTTCCTCTTTACGTCACTCTACTGAGCTACATCACGTTCGACGCATTATTTTCTCTCCCGTTTGACAAAAAACAACATGAGACTGAAACTCGATAAACGAACCAAGCGAAAAATTCTACCAATCGACATAATTAACGTCTGAATGATCATTAAATACTGTCTGTAATCACTAGTGTGAGTGCATGCGTATTCAGGCATTTGTTGAAGGCCCGGTGGAGTGACGACTTCGGGCTAACGAGCGCTTCGGTCAACTTTGTACAAATAACGTATGCAGTTTTCAGTGTTCATTGTAGTTGGGTCATATGCATGAAAAACTTCAACTCTTCTATTCCTCCATTCTAATTACGTCTGGGAGTTGGGAACTGCTCTGTAAACCCTCTTTTTACCAGCTGTAGTTTTTTTTTCTTCTTTTCTTCTTTATTTATTATTCATTGAATTTTTCTCCTTCACCTTTTTCAAACCAATCATTTCAGATTTTCTTTGTGGAGAGTGAGTGCCTGTTTCGAGGGTGAATTAATTAAGATTAATTGAATGATTGATTTCTTTGAACTGCATGCTTTTCGGAATTGGACGGAGGGGCGATACAAATATCGAGGGAATTTTAATTTTATTTGGGGAATGGGGAGAAATTCGTTGGGGCGTGGACGGAACTAATTAGGTGAATGGAGGGTAATTGAATATTTATATTTTTCGAAAATTCGCTAAATATTCGGGGAGTCAGTAGAGATGAAAATGTTTGCTCGCAAAATAAGGTCCTCATTTTGATTGAAATCGAATGGAATTTTTGGGTCCAGGAATTTATACGAATAATGAAAGGCAATTGCAATTTTTGCATAAAACAACAATGACGATGTGATTGGTACCCTGTAACTCTGACGGAAATATTTGCCGTTTAAATTCACTTTATTAGAGATATTTTCACCTCGAAATAGTAAAGAATTCGAAATCTTGAGCGAAATAGCAGACGTCTACAAATTATCCGCACAAATGCAGATTCTCCCAGCGATAAAACCCATAAATAGATTAATCACACTGGTATCCGTAATAACAAATTTTGCATTTTCAAATGAAAAAAATTTCGACTTTTGCAATAATCACAAAATTATTTTGTTGATTACTGCTAAATAAAAATTTTAATGCTCTCACTATAATGAGTGGAATTTTCATCCTCTGACATTTGATCCACGGCAGGCATTCCGAATAAAAAGGTTTCTCGACAATTTACTCCGAAAAACACTCTTAATCAAGCTAACTCACTCTTCATCAAAACGTGACCATCAACTTCCACCACTCAACAACAATAATCCCAATAATCGAACTAAATTTCTCCTGCTATTCACACATCAAGTAAAAAAATCCTGCAATTATCCGACGAAGAATGAGGACAAACACCGGGAACAGTAGAAATAAGTAGTTGTGATCAGCCGAATGTCTGTATCCCACTACGAAGAAGAAAGAAAAAACCTCACACGAACTTTAACGATGAACTTTACCGACAACAGCGCCCTTTGCCATGGGGCAATATGCTCCAGGCGTTTCAGGTGTATGCACATCCTTCAGTCCCGCTGGAGCAGCCGACCCGACAGCATCGAATATCCCCAACCCACCCTCGAGTCCTCAAAAGTTGAAGCCGACTACTGAGAGACCCAAACTCTCTAAAAAAAATCCGTCAAAATTCCGTTGAAATGAATTTCAATATTTCCCTTACTCGTAATTTATTCTTCCCCAGTTTATAATTGTGATTGCACGTGATTCATTCGTGAATGATGAATTTAAATTCTGGGATAAATGTTTATGTTCACTGAGAATGGCATACACCATGCAGGGTGAGTACTCTTGGAATAAATTTACTTAGAAAATAAATATAAAGAAGGGATGTTTTTTTTATCTCGTCACATGTTGCGTGGGATAATAAAAATACCGTGGACAATGGGGGGTGTAAAAATCCATGGAAGAATATAATCCGTTTTATGTCGTCTCCAGAGGCACCTTTATTTCTTCGGTGGTGTCGTAAACTTTGGACTTTGCTCCTCCAATGTCTCTCTAGTCTTTCACAAAGTTTCCAACATCTCCTCGGGTGTTCTCTCTTTCACGATGAGTTGTTTGAAGGGGTCCCGTGCCAGAAACAATTTTCCACTTCGACTCACTGTCAGTGTTGAATGGCTCTCGCTACCCTCAAAATTATCATATCAGCAACGTGTTGCCTGACTCGCCAGTGATAAGGAAAAAGTTTCAAACAAAAAATTTATTTCAAGTATTTTTGGTAAGAGGCTTACTATTGGCGATATTAAGGGGTGGAATATTTAAGCGAAGAACTAGTGCTCCAGTTTGGGAGCAGAGGGACGTTGATAGGACACGTATGTTCAGGGAGTGAAGTGGTGGATCCTTTTACAGGGTAACGTAATTTTGGAGAATGGGGATCACTTGCATTAGCACTTGGTCACGTGCACCTGCTTCTTCTATTATATTTTTTTTCTCTTCGTCGCTGGGGCATCATAACAATTAGGGGGGAGAGTATTTATGGTGACAATATTAAGTCGGGGGTGATATATTTTCGAGGGGCTTAAGAGAACGCTTTAACGGAAAATTCTATTGCTTTCAATTTTTCAGAATTTAATCTAGTAAGAATTTAATTCAATTCCCTTGAGATTGGATTCAATTTTTCTATAAAGCATAATAAAATGAGTGCATTAATAGTTCGAGAATACAAAGTTTTTTTTCCAGTTCAAATAAAAAATTTTTGAACACTATGTACAATTGAATTTAATTGCATTGACGATTGGATTCAATTTTTTCTTTTCGAGAAATAGTAATTTTTTCTTAAAATATTAGCGCCTACGGAGAATCGAATTTTATTGCGTTCGCGGTACAATAAATATTTCGTAGCATGGTGCAGAAAAAAATTTTGCTTTCAATTTTGAGAAATTATATGAAATGGAATCTACAGTCAATTGCGTTAAAAAGTGATCTCAATTACTGGTGAAGAGTAACGCTATGATTTGATTAATGGTTCGAAAATACCGACGCGTAGTCTGGGATCGAAATAGAAGAATGTATCTCTACTGTGTAGAATCGAATTCTAGTATGGTTTGGATGAGTGCAAAATACTTTGAGGCTAGGTAGATCAGTTTAATGATAAATTGGAGCCAAAAACAAAATGATTGGGAGAATATCTTGCGGGACAATTCCATTGCTTTTAATGTTTCGTAATTTAATTTGGTATGTCGAATCCAGATGAATACTGTAACGCGAAAAAAACATTGAGATTGAGTAAGACGTCGTCGAGTTGAGAGAAATTGGTGGCATTTTTAATTCAAAGGATGACGTCACGGAAAAACTGATACTTTCCAATTCTTCATATTCCAATGAAATAAAAATTCCATCCACTTCTACGAGAGATTGCAAGATTGATCCAATTATCCCATAAAAAAAAAGATAGTACGATTTAATTGATAATCTGGAGAGACCTGACATTCTTCTAAAATCGAAAGAAAAAAATACTACCGCACTTCGTAGAATCGAATTCCATTACGCTCTCCATGAAAAAAAAATCCCTGATACTCCGTAGAATAGTTTGACGATAAATTTCACCCGAAAAAAAATTGATACCTGATACGTAAAAAGATTATTGGCGCTGAGGGGTTGAGGTGAATGGGTCGAGAGTACAGTAGCAACCATGGAAGAGCATTTCGTGTTGACGCATCGTCGATGCTTTTGTACTCGTGAACACACGCGATCCTTTCAGAGTCGAGCACAGTGGCTGGGGGTGGTTGTAGCAGAAGTGCCACTGGCGTAAATCGTAGCAGCATCGTGGGAGGAAATTGCGATGGGGTGGAGCGACGAATGGTAGACATTACCAGAGATAAGCCGATCAAAGTTGCCGTGAGGGTGCAAGTACCTGTTCGAGATCATCCCAAGGTCAGTTTAAAAATTCAGGTAAACTTGCCGTTCAACTTTTCATTTTCTATTTTTCCCAACTCGAGTGAATATCAAACTGCCGGCGGGAGGGAAAAATCAATTGAACAAATTCACGGTTTTTAATTGTATCTACATGAAAAAAGTTTCAACTGCAGTTTGATGGAATTATTATTGTATCTGTGGAGTTTAATTTCGTTGGAAAATTATTGGGCCCAAAGGGAAAACGTTTCTTGACATTCCTTTATAAAATCACTATCAATCGAGATAATTTATCATTTATAAAAATGGAAACATCCACTTCAACACTTTCTCCAGTGAAATGCTTTTCATTTGAGCCCCATTTGACTGTAAGTTTCCCAACATTTTACGATTCTGATTTTATTATTTAAACTGGACAGGTCTGAATTTCAATTATTTATTTATAAACAAAGAATGTTAAAAAAATGCTAATTCTGTGCAAAATGTTATTCGAATCACGCTGACCGGAGGGAAAAATCAATTGAACAAATTCATGGTTTTTAATTCTATGTACCTAAAGAAAGTTTTAACTGCAGTTTGATTGAATTACTCTTGTATCTGTGCAGTTTAATTTCGTTGGAAAATTATTGGGCCCGAAGGGAAATTCATTAAAACGCCTGCAGGAGGAGAGTGGGTGCAAAATGGCTGTACTTGGTCGGGGTTCTATGAAAGATCGTCAAAAGGTAAATAATAAGAATTGCACAGATAAAAAATTGATGATTCAATGAACAATATTTTGTGGAACGGAAATTTTAGGTTTCAACAGGTAGAAAAATAACTGCTCTCTCTCTTTCTAAATAGTACTCCACTTTCTCTTTACTTATAGCGAATTAATAAACACACTCTAGCGACAGAATTCGAAAGAATTCGGATCTCAAGAGATCTCATATTAGGTCACAAATCCAGAAGAATGAAAAGAATGCAGATTAATCCGAAAAAAATTATGTGAACATTTACTGTAAAGAATAAATAAAATAAATCATGATACACACTGGAAACACGTTATTTTTAAACACCTCAGCAAACTATCATATTCGACCTAACGCGAAAATTAGTTATCCTGACACAAAAAAACAGGAAATTTCTGATTTGACGAATACATTACTTTCATCCATTCATTCATTTCACCTCAATTGACTGAATATACAATGCTTTCATTCGGAAGCAAAAAAACCTAGAACGGTATTAAACCCGGCAATAACTCGAGTTTTTCACTAATTTTTTCTCAACTGTTTTCTCGACGCATTGAGCCCCTACAAAACAACCCAACCAACCCAACCATAAGAATTAAAAATTCCCCCTTCATCTCCAGCTACCCACAGTCCGATGAAAAGAAAAAAACCCTCAGCGATGTCCGCGAGCAGCAGAAATGACACAAAAATACAGAGACCACGGGAGAGAATGAAAAATAAATCATAAAGAATTTGAGAGGATGAAGAAAAAAAATGCAAACCTCCTGGTGGAAAAATATATATCCCCCGGGCCGTCCTTCAATTAAAGCCCCAACTTCCCCCGAAAGTGCACTCACCAGATTATGAAAAGATCGTCACTTTAAATTTTTTTCCCTCCAAAGAAAATATCATGCATCACTTTCTTCCTCTCCCATAATAAATGCACCTGAACGAAAGAGTTGGGTTGAAGTGGGTAGTATGTACATAGTGGGTGAGGGGGAGGGGGGTGCAGGGGGAAGGAAGGGAGGAAGGGTAAAGATTTGTACGAGGATGCGACTTTAATGACTTCCTTAATTAAAAGCCGTACATCTCGTGGCTTGTGGGGAAACCTCCACTCACCGATGGGCTTGAAATTGTCGAAGCCTTTTTGGTCTCATCCATATTGCGTATGAATGTGTGTCTTTTGGAACGGAATTCCAAGTGAAATGTTACACATAACGATGGGGTTTCCCCCGTCGTTTCCTTTTGATGGTTATCCCGAACGCTGGAAAACATCACCCATCTGCGGTTGAGATAAACTTCCCCCCAGTAGCACGTGTACACAGAGTAGTCGCATGAAACTTGGATGCAACTCGTTTGTAAACTCGTGCTTTACTTTTAATATTTAAACATTCAATTACGTTGCTCTGTACGAGTTCGATCGATTAATCGAATCTAGTTTTGCCCCCAAAACTTGAGTTGAAGTGAATGATTTATATAATTCAATTTCGGGATTAGTTTGAAATAGAGAAATCGTACACTGAGGGAGAAAAAAACGTGTTCTAAAACAAGTTTTTTTTATAAATGAACACAAGAATATATTTATCTCAATTTTCCCGATTTCCATTAATTTTCTCGGGACAGTTGTATCGAAATTTAAAGTTTCCAGAAGAAACAATAAATTTTTTTATTCACTCATCGAGTGTTTTTTCACGCAATCTAAAGTACAATTTAAGAAGAATATTCAGTGTAGACCCTTCTCCATTACAGAATTAATATCTCTTTTCCGATGCGGAATAAAATCCCCTTTTATCCCACGATAAAAAAAATTTCCCCAGACCTAAAAGAAAAAAGAAAGTTCCTGATGGGCAGAGGGAAATTGACTCATTATTATGAGCATTACCAGGAGAATTAATATCCCTTTTATGCCAGAGAAAACTGTTTTCATCTCTCTATCCAACTTTTCCGCTTCGAATTCACTCACTGGTAATTATTTAACAGGAGGAGGAGTTACGTGCCAGTGGTGACCCAAAGTTCTCTCATCTCACGGAGGATCTTCACGTAGAAATAAGCGCCTATGCAACACCAGCTGAGGCACACGCTCGCATTGCCTATGCCCTAGTCGAAGTGCGACGTTTCCTCGTTCCCGTACGACAATCAATGCATTAATTAGCAGATTTAATAAACGATGATGCGTCATTATTAAATCACAATGTGACATTTATGAGAATTAATGACTCCCTCTGTGCAGGATTACAATGATGACATACGACAGGAGCAGATGTGGGAAATGCAGATGATGAACTGTACGGAAAATAGCCAGGATGAATTATCAAGTCCAGAGACTAATTCAGAACCAACTAGTTCACCAATTTCCAGTACCACTGGACAAGCTTCCGAACCCCAAGAGATATCCAAAACTTCGGGGAATTCGCCCCATTCCATAACTTCGGGTAAAAATATATATTTTTTTTATGCAGGCTTTTGCGTGAAATAATTTAATCGTCAGATACATGGAAAAAAATTACTCGAGAATGTATTGAATTCACGTGGAAAAATAACGAGACTTGCCAGTAGAAATCAACAAGTCACAGCGGCAAAAAAATAACTTCCAATTTTTTTCTTTTTCTTTTTACTATGCATTCTAGGTTACACTAGTGAAAATGATTTGAATTTCCGGTATAATTCTTGGAAATTTTCTATCAAATGACTTTCCGGAAAACTTCAAGGAATTTCGTCATTGAAAATTCATAATTTCATTTCATTGCTATTTTTCTAGAAAAACCAATCGATATCAGGAAAATTCAGATAAATATATTCTTGAAATTTTAAATTTCGTACTTTTATCCACTCTATATCGAATTCAATGTGGCTCATGTGAAAAATACTCCTGAACTGTCATTGAAATTTCAAAATTCGATGCATAAGCCAATGCAAACTGCAAATTTAATTTCAATTATTCCATGGAAATTAACATAAATCAATTGAATTCAGTGAGGCATGGCACATTTTCCACTTAATAAAGAAATTCGAGCATGAAAAGTTAATTTTAAAATAGTTTTCATAGTTTTGACTTTAAACCTTCATTAAATTCCGGAATTTTCCTTCAAAAGTGACGTAAAATTTTCATCCTAATAATTCACCGAGACTGAGAGAATGAATGATTTATTAAAAACCCCATTCGAAGTCGCAAAATGGAAATAATCTAATACTGGAACAATACAGAACCGCGATTACCTAATCCTTCACAACAACAAAAACTTTCATCGATTCCATTCGTCGACGCCAATGAATTCAAAAAAACGTAATTTCAGTGGTTTTTGTACATTTCATGTAGGTCGAAAGAGGCCTTTGGTCCCTGGAAATCGACCTGCCATGTCCCCAACGAAAAGAACAGTCATGTCACTCTTAGCGCGCGCAAGAGCAGCCCAGAATAAAGAGCATCTTCAGCCAGGCCAGATTGTTGCTCACCCACAGTCACCAAGTGTCCATCAAGCGACTTTAACAATGATCCCACAAGCCCCAAACCAGCCCACAACTCATACTGTACCACAAGTACCCAGAATTCAATTAATCGGTCAGACAGTGGCGCAACATCAAACGTCACGGAGACAGACAATTATTCCACCTCATTCGCAACATCAGATTCTGTCACCTGCAATTGGGCTTATCCATGCGCAGTGAGTAGAAATATGTTCAATCACGTTAAGAGATTAACTCTGCCTCGAGTGTTTAATTAATTGGTGGAAATTGCCCGAGTGGATGAGACGATTCTTTTGAGGTAGAGAGACGAGACGAGAAGAGGAAATTTCACGGGGGAAAATCCATCTCTGTGATTAAACAGAGCGAAGTGAATATCATTATTGATTCTCTCCCTTCACTCCTAGAAATATTTTTCAACGAAAAATTCATTCCTTTAATCCCCCTCACTAATGAGCAAAAAATATATATCGTTGAAAGGACAAAGAAAAAAAAAACATTGGTGAAAAAATCCCGACGCCTGAGACGAAATAAGTTATCGGATTTTCCCCGAGGCTGAGACCTATTTTGTCAAGGATATGTTATTACGAATTCAAAGAGTAGACGATTAGTGTTCCCTTTCATCTGGCCACTTGTTTTTGCAGGAGGACCGCCGGTGGGCCAACGGTGCTTCCACTTCTACGAGAGGACCTCGTTGCTGGAGTGAATCTGGTTTAATTCACTGAGAACGTCGTCTTAAATCGAAGAGAATTTTTTTCTCGTTTGCTTTATTTTTGAGGAAGCTCGGAAAAGAGCGGTGAAATTTATGTAAAGCAGTTTATAAGGAATTTTCCTTATTCATTTTGTGATTAATCAGGGTTGAAGGTATTCTATTGTGTTATAATTGTTCTTTACAACCCTCGGACCAACTTCTGCTCTCACTGGCTTCGTTAGGTAGACTATTGTGCGCTGATGTAGCAATTAGATAAAGAAATTAAAATGCAATGTATAGATGAATTTAAATAAATGAAAATTAATATAAATAATTAATGGATAAATGAAGTATTCTTCAATCTGTATAATGAAATAAATACCACAAATTGATGCGGAAAAAAATTGATTTTATTATTTGTAAAATGGATGTAGACTTGTAAATATCGAGATTTACACTGGCTAGGAGAATTATCAGGGATATAGAATGTCGTAGTGACCTGGACGATATAATAAATGTACAGCTGGTGTTGAGCCCTCTGGAAAATCGTGGGCTGTCACTTCGGTGCCAGCTCCACGATCCATGTAACGTACTCGTACACCAGTACCAAGGGCTGTACTCATTGCGATGATATGAATGTGATCGGACTCCTTGTACATTGGTTCCACTTCCTACATTAGAATTTATGAAATGCAGAAATTTTCATTTGCTTAATGCATGAAGGGCTGATCACTTGTCAATGATGGATCGAGTGAAATGGTATTAATTCAACTTGAGGATGAGTTTTTGATAAATGTTGCTGTTGAAATCAACGTGTGAATTCCAGACATGAGTGTGTGTTGTTCACGTTTCGTATTTCGTACACAAAAAAATAGCGTCACAGATGTCTTACTTTTACAAAACAATTCTTACGTTTGAAGAACTATCTCAAAGAAAAAATTTTCATCACAAAAATAATTTGTCGTTAAAGAAAATCTTATTTCTAGCACTTTCACGCCCATTTGGTCACAATAAATTTCTAATTCATACGAAAGAAAGGCGCAAATTTCTAAATTTTGGTTCGCAAAGTGTGTATCTCGAGTGAAACGAAATGTTCGCGATTTAGCTTTAAATCAAAAGGGATATTTTCATCTTTGAGAATTTGGTATCTTCTAAAAAAAACTATTTCTACTTTGGCAATCATTCGAAACGTATTTTGTTGTTTCAATCAACTTTCACGTGTTCGAATTTTAATTGTCCCCCCAATGTCGATTCTAATCTATTCATCAAAAACTAATAATCAAGTGGAATTAAGTTGTGCATTTTAATGCTTTAATTGTAAGAATGATTACCTGATGACAAAATTCAACGACAGTCCTACCACCCTCAATGAAATTCTGGTAAAAATCAGCTTCTTTTTGCAATTGACCAGAGGTTATTAGTCTAAGATAAACAACAATATAATCTGAGTAACCTTGCTCGTTAAAAAATTTATGTAATTCAGCACTGCTGGCCTCTGTACCATCGCCAACCTTCTCAATGACTTCCATAAACTGAAATGAGTACAACTCGTTACTCCGATTATTCACACGAAGCATAAAGAAGATAACAAAAGCCATCCAGAGTAGAGTTATGGGTATAATTTAACAGCGACACAGCATTTTCTTGACAAAATTGTCTAGTACGAGTGAGTCACATCATTTATTTTTACAACTCATGTTTTGTATTGAGATCTTATCTACAGAAATTGTGCTCCGCGGTTTCTCAGTACACGATATATATATTTAATTCTACTTATGGAACTCAAAAATAGAATTCACAAATCTGGACTCAAGTTTGATGGATTTTGGATTTTTTCTTGAATTGCACATATTTAAATTACATGTCGATTCTAGAATTATGTCTTTTCCAAAAAAAAGTTTGCAAGTTGCTCCTTATTCCCCCACATTATTTCCTTTTCATTCAGTATTACCAAAAAATTTTCCAATCATAATTGTGTAGATGATAATACTTTAAACATTATTTTGAGAAATAAAAACAATATTCAGTTTGTATAATCGGGATGACACATTACAATTTAATAGAATTCAATATGTATATCGTGTAGATAGAATGAGGAGAAAAAAATCTACCAGAAAAAATAAAGTCTCCTTTGTCTGCAATAAGTAATTCTGCCAAGAAAATGCAGTGTCCATGTTGAAACACACTGATAAGAAAAAAATACTGTAATTACCGTGTCATGAAAGTCTTCCACCGTGAACTGTGGAAATCCCAGTGCAACTAAATTATCCTTACTCTTTGATGCGAGTTCACGAAACTTGTCATACTCATCTTTATTCTGTATCAGTCTCTCGAGATAAGCATAACTGAATGCACGAAAAAAACAATTACCATCGGGTCTAGTTCTTCTAATGTAGGAATACTTTTGTCCCAGTGCCCTAGCCTTTGACAGATAAACCTCATCCTCCTCGTACTCCCTCTCCAGGCTCTTCAGTGATTCCTTTTCCCCCACTAGAGGTATTGATTCGGATATCTAGAACCCACATTGCAGGTTAGCCCATTATTCGCAATTTTTTTTCCTCCCTTGATTTTAATTAGCCAATGAAATTTCAAAAGTATAATAAATAAAAGGAATCATTAACCTCTTTCTCGATGCTTCTTTGTTGCTGAAGGATGAGTTCATCTTGATTGACTTGAAAAGAGAAAAACGACAATATGGTCGTGAGACTTATACTTTAATTGGAGATTGAGAATTTGAGCGATGGAAAATTACCTAAATTTTCTCCGGGGTTATTAATCGATGTGTCACCCATTTTTCAACGAATCTTCATGGATTTTTGTTGGAATGAGCGTTGTATCGAAAACAAAAGTCGCCTGTCGGATAGAACGACTACGACCGGTCGACTCGCACATATACAGGACACACAGGAACATCAATGGGTGTAGTTAGGCGCGAATTTGAGAATCAGCCTTTAAGGACTTTTAACGATGGTGGGGGGGGGGGGGGGGGGTCTTTGAGCAATCACAGATGGATTCATTCCGTTTTGGACACGTTCGGGGGAAAATAGCGTCAGTACGGGAGGCGGTGGAACAGATGGGCACGAAAAATTGTGGTCACATTCGCGGATGGACAGATTCTGATGAGGTGGCTAAACAGGGCTCGATATTACAGATGTCCTGTAAAAAGTCTTACCAATCGAATTTTCTAGTGCAGCGGCGGCACGTTGAGAGATAGCGGGATTATTTTCATTTCAAGCAGAATTACAAACTGAATCGGACTAGAGCAATTGGTTGTCCGCCGGAAACTATTATTTATAAACAAATGACGATGGTAAATCACTCGTAATTCGTTAGCAGATGAATATAATGAATTTTTCGGTGTTTAAGGATTACTTAATTGATTAGTAAATTAAAAAAACTAACGACGTGCTAATTAAGAATCAACATTCACTTGACGAAAAAACTCGATTTTGTCGAAAGTCGACTTTCTCCCGGGAAAAATCCTAGATCTGACACTTTGGCCCCGGGTGAAAAAGAAATTTTGTATTTCGACATTTCTTGCGCCTCCGAGTATTTCAATAGCATCAGAATCGTCATTAGATCCAGAATCAACCTTCACTTGGCGAAAAAAATCGATTTTGGCGAAAGTCAACTTTCCCCCAGAAGAAATCCTAGATCTGACACTTTGGCCCCGCGTGAAAATTTTTTTTTTTCAGTTTTCACTTTTTTCACATACTTCGGAGAGTTCTGGATAACCCGTCGCTTAAATAGATGGAATCAACGTTCACCCGGCTAAAAAATACGATTTTGACAAAAGTCGACTTCCCCCCTGGAAAAACGGAAAATCTGACCCTTTGAAAATCTGAAAAAAAAACTTTTTCAGTTTTCACTTTTCTCACATACTTCAGAGAGTTCTGGATAACCCGTCGCTTAAATAGATGGAATCAACGTTCACCCGGCTAAAAAATTCGATTTTGACAAAAGTCGACTTTCCCCCTGGAAATATCCAAGATCTGACACTTTGGCTCTTGTGACCCTTGTGACCCTTTGACCGACTTTTCCCCTGAAAAAATCCAAGTTCCAAGATCTATGCTACGCCGACAAATCTGGACAGGTAGATGTCACGGTGAGTTGGCTAGCACTGCGCAGCACTTCTGCTATGTGCACCAAGCATCAGATATTTCCGAATAGGAACCTGATTGTATTCAGAACCGTCAAGACCTTGCGATACCACACTGTCGTTCATCCGAAGATGGGAACGACAAGTGCACTTTCGTCACTCTATGATACACCGAAAAATCTTGACATGTTCATGACTACGAGCCTAATGAGAGACGCATCAGTGAGCTGCAGCATTAATGAACTCATCATGAGGTATGCTTGAATGGTAAAACAAGCAGTCTGGCAGAGGCTATGCGACAGAGGACATATGACAGAAGAAATACCATCCTTTAGTATGATGGAACCTACAATCGTACAAAATTTTAGCATCCCATCTTAATTTTTTCTAGAGTTATCGTGACTACAAGGATTTCATCAAAAATATACAAAAAATTGGAAAATGCCAATTACTACCTACTTGTCCGTAGTTGAGATATTATCGTTTGATTTGACAGAAATAATCACAAGGAACATTTTGGCGTCAACCAAATTAAATTTAATCGCGTAATGTTTTAGATATTGAAGAAAAAAGATGATTTTTTAATCTGCTATATCTCAAAAACTACTTGAACGATCGAGCTGAAATTTTGCCTGGATTTGCTCCCAAACAATGCCAATTATCCCACTCATCAATGCCAATTATCCCATTTCAAATTTTTAGCTTCAACTTTACTCCTTTTTTGTTGAAATTAAAAAAAAAATCCGAAAAAACCGTACATACATACGGACATACACACACATTTCTTAAAAACATCATATTTTCGCGTTTCATAACATTATACATCATCTTCTGGCAAAATTAGAAGATGAAAATTAGAATATGAAATGATCAATCCATTCGGATTCGCATTCCATTCGGATGCAAAAATTGAGAAATTGTGTCAGTCGATCTTGAGATATTGGTGATTGAAAATTGTGAACTTTCAATTGTAAATTTTGGTGACTCACCAGTAGCTGAAATCCCCATTTGCACCTCGAGATGTTCTCCAATGCCTCCAGAAACTCATCTCCACGACGATCACTTGCACTAACATTTTTCGAAATTGAATGTTACACACAAACATAACTGAAGCCGCCACCTTACGTATATACACCCACGTCGACAAAGAAATTCCCAAGAACACCTCTAATTTGTTTAATTAAAAAAAAAACTTCATCACACTTCACAACACTAAAATTCCAATAAAATCGTGTCCCGTGTTTTCACTGAACTTGTCTTATCACTTTTTTAATTATTTAAAAAATCATTGAATCCATCTACACGCAAAACACTGGATTTATCGTCCAGAATTGCCTCCACGCGTCATCTCGTGGTGTTCCTAATACGTCGGTCACTTGGAGACTCCAGATTTTCACCATTCGAAACGTTCGTATTTTAAAACTGGTCATTCATAAAAATATTCAACTATTTTATCGTACGATTGTAGCTGTCCATTATTATCAATTAATTATTGGACTGATTTTAGTTATCTCCATAATTTGATCAGTCTTCGAACGCGAAAATAATCAGGACAGCCATTATGGATTCGCGCAGGATGTTGCATTGAGGTTTTTCCCATTGTCTCGGTGATTTTTGTTTTTACGTTTCAACACTCGTAATTTATTAAAATACTTGTAAATTTTATGATAAAATCATTATTGTCCCTTATTATTAACTGATTACTACATTTTTAATAATTATTTTGACGATTTTACCCCTTATTTTGAATAAAAGTCGGAGACGAACGCCAAGATTTCGGGATCAGACAGCCATTTTGGATGTGCGTGGAATTGTTGCGCAGACGTTTTGGCCATTGTCTCATGGTAATTTTTGTTTTTACGTTTCAACACTCGTAATTCATCAAAATACTTGTAAATTTCATGATAAAATCATTATTGTCCCTTATTATTAACTAATTAATACCTTTTTAATAATTATTTTGACGATTTTACCCTTTATTTTGAATAAAAGCCGGAGAGGAACGCCAAGAACTCGGGATCAGACAGCCATTTTGGATGTGCGTGGAATTGTTGCGCAGAGGTTTTGGCCATTGTCTCCGGGTAATTTTTGTTTTTACGTTTAAACACTCGTAATTCATCAAAATACTTGTAGATTTCATGATAAAATTATTGTTGCCCCTTATTATTAACTACTTATTACATTTTTAATAATTATTTTGACGATTTTACCCCTTATTTTGAATAAAAGCCGGAGACGAACGCCAAGGACTCGGGGATCAGTCGGCCATTTTGGATGTGCGTAGAATTGTTGCGCAGACGTTTTGGCCATTGTCCCATGGTAATTTTTATTTTTACGTTTCAACACTCGTAATTCATGAAAATAGTTGCAGATTTCATGATAAAATCATTGTTGTCCCTTATTATTAACTACTTATTACATTTTTAATAATTATTTTGACGATTTTACCCCTTATTTTGGACAAAAGCCGGAGACGAACGTCAAAAACGCGGGACTAGTCGGCCATATTAGATGTGCGCAGTGATGGTGCGTGGAGGTTTTTGCGCTCAACCAAAGAAATTTGAAAAAATCCTCACTACTCATTTGAACAAAACCTGGTCACGAAAAAAAATTCTCTATTTTTAATAAAAATAAAAGTAAATAAGGAGATATGATCTTTGAAAATCACTGATGGAAATGGATAAATTATTTTCTGAGAGAAATGTTTTCAACATCAATTGTTCTTTTCCGAAACCAACAGAATTCGTAAAATTGCTGGTTTTTTCTATGAAATATGTCTCAGAAAAAACAAGGTCATGCACTCATCTTGCGTCGATACCTAAAACACTTACAAAAAGTCAACAAAGAGGAAACAAACACAGAAACTCAGTAGATTCTGTACTCGCAATCGAGTCCTCAAGTCGCTGATGTTTTTTCCTCTTCGCCAGACACTTGTCATCACCTTTCACTACCTTTAATTGTTAATTTTCATTGTTTAAAACTAAAATTACTTGCGTCCCTCCACTTTACACATTCGAACGGAACAGAACGTAATCCCGAGCATCGTTAGTCGACGCCACCGTACGTCACGAACATTCGTACCAAGTTCCACTTCTAGGTTAAGTTGCTTGCGGTCTCCGCCAGTTGTAGGTGGCGCCACCCCTCTTTCCCCCTTTACGCGCTCGGTCGCCATACTTCGCATTTCCCGTCGCGAAGTGTTGTATTTTATATTCCATTAATTAGTGAGGAATCCCTTGATTCCTTTACCGGAAAAATGGTGCAAAAGAAGGTAAACATATTTGTTGAGAGGTGTTTCCTAATATTTTTTGGTTTTATTGATTCGGGGAATTTTGGGGTGAGGTTGAATGTCGGTGGGGTCGGCTCCTCGACAGATGCACCTCCACGTTATCAACATGTCTAAATTCGTGAGATAATTATTTTTTGGGACTTTAAAAACCGCTGTTTAAATAACTACAAGGTGTCCAATTATTTCGTCGGAGAGTGAATTTTCGAACGTCAGATGGTTAATTTTCATTCGGAATAAAAACATTGGGATGATTTCTAGTTCTCTAGATCTTCTCAAGTAAAATATTGAGGTTATTAAACAGATGATTTCCCCCCGATGTATCCACAAGGATTTGATGACATTCTCATATTAAAAAATGATGATATAATTAATGGGAATAGGCGCAAATAATTTCTGTTTCTCGAGAAGACAATTTCTTTTCTCCTAATGATCTGCTCTATGAGATTAATTTTCACTTCATCAGCATGTCTAAATTTGAAATAAAATTACTTTTCAATGATACAAAGATATCACTCAAAACAACTATCATTTATCCAATCACTTGAGAAATTAATTTGTAAATGTCGAAATTAATTTGGAAATGTTGCCTTCTAATTTGAACAAAAACATCGGAGCATACTAGACAACTCAAATGAAATATTTAGACTATTAAGATGATAATTTGCTATCGAATATATTCACAAGTCTCTAATGATACCTTCTTTTCCCATAAAAAATCCTAAAATCACTTGGAACAGGTAAAAACGAATTTTGCGTCTCAAAAAAATATTCAACTTTTCTAAAGAGACTTCAACTTGAGAAAACCCAATGATGACAAAAAATAGAGCCAATCCCATGATTTGCTGTGAGAAGACACCTATTTTTCGGCTGAAATCTTCAAAAACCTTTTAAAACGATAAAAATCCTTGAGAAGTGACTAATCAAAAATTTCCTCTGTAGCCCAAGAAGAAGGTAGGGAAGAAGGTAGCAGCTGCTCCCTTGGCAGTGAAGAAAGTCGAGCTGAAGAAGCAGACAAACCCACTGTTCGAGAAGCGCACTCGCAACTTTGGAATTGGCCAGGACATCCAGCCAGCTCGTGACCTGAGCAGATTCGTCAAATGGCCCAAGTACATTCGCATCCAGCGTCAGAGGGCTGTCCTCCAGAAGCGTCTGAAGGTTCCACCACCAATTAACCAGTTCACCCAGACCCTCGACAAACAGACAGGTGAATATTTTTACTCTATTCCATACCAATTGTTGTATTCATCTTCCTGGGAGGTGAATATAATGATCAAATCATTAAGAATGAGTTTCTGAAAATATATTTCATTGGTTTTTTAGCAACACAGTTGTTCAAAATCCTGGAGAAGTACAGGCCAGAGTCAGCTGACGCGAAGAAGAGGAGGCTAAAGGCTAGGGCTGAGGACAAAGTTGGCAAGAAGGAGGACACACCAACCAAGAGGCCAAACGTTGTGCGCAGTGGAACCAACACTGTTACAACACTCGTGGAACAGAAGAAGGCACAACTTGTTGTCATTGCTCACGATGTGGATCCCATTGAGGTAAATAATTACAATACCTCCAAAACAATTAATTAGTTTAGTACCTTCAACATGAAGTTGAATTCATAATTTTAATTTCCTATGATGTTAGAATTTCTTCACCTGAGACGAGAGGAGTAACAAATTCCTCTGGTTCAGAGGATGAGAATTGACTCTGAGTGATTTCCAATCTAAAATCCAAAGTGAATGATCTTATCTGAAAAAAGAAACTAATTTATAATTTCTTGTCATGTTTACCAGGTCGTCCTCTTCCTCCCTGCTCTCTGTCGTAAGATGGGAGTTCCATACTGCATCATCAAGGGCAAAGCTCGTCTGGGACGTCTCGTGAGACGCAAGACCTGCACTGCAGTCGCCCTCACACAGGTAAAAACCGCCTCCAAACCCTCAGAATCCTATTTCAACCATTGAAACTACACCTAGAGTTCCAAAATACTCAATGATGAAAGATAATAGAGCCAATCCCATGAGTTGTTGTGATAAGACACCTATTTTTCAACTGAATCCCTTAGAAAACTCACCAAATCAATGAATTAATCCTTAAAAATCATTGAACTAATCAAACAATTTTTTTAATTCTTCAGGTTGACTCTGCCGACCGAGCCAACTTCACCAAGGTCGTCGAGGCAATCAAGACCAACTTCAACGATCGTCACGACGAGATCAGACGTCACTGGGGTGGTGGTCTTCTCGGCAGCAAATCAGCCGCAAGAATCGCCAAATTGGAGAAGGCCAAGGCTAAGGAGCTCGCCCAGAAGCAGGGTTAAGGAAACTTAGGTTTTATACTCTCATCTGGTCGATTAAAAAAATAATAAAAACATGAAAAAAAAAAGTAAACATACTCTTTTATTTAAAAACAAAAAAGACAAGAGCTAAAAATCATTCTCCAGTATTACTCAAAACTACAAATAAAAGTCGTCATTTCAACAATCAACTCATTCAATATATGCAATTACTAACAGACGACACGTAACTCAAAGTGATAATTTACAAAATTCGGTAGTAAAATTGTAAAATACGATCATTATACTTCAATTTTTCATTCACCACTTAAATCTCTTCAGTAATATTGATCTTCTATTTACTAATTAAAATTCACTCATACCGGGTTGCTAAAATTACAAATTACAATTAGAAATTACTACATTAATTAGATAATTAAATATATACAATTCTTAAGACGAACGAAGCTTAATCCCCACGGATTCCTCATTGACATTAACATGTTTCCTTCAATCGACTCATCAAGACAATTCCACATTAAAAAAAAAAATCAAATACTTCATCACTGGATTCCTCCCTAAAAATTGGAGTTCTACATTCTCTTCTTGATAAGTTTCTCCAGCCTCTTGATTTTCCCCGCCTCCAATTCAGGGCTGTTTCTCACAAAGTGTCCCTGAGCCTCCCCCACCCCCACCTCACTCCCCCCAATCCTGAACTGCTCGACAAGAGCAGCCTGCTCCTGCTTCCTGAGCCCCTTCATATCCAGAATCTTCTGGAACTCCTGCACCTGTAAATCCGGCAGCAGCCTCCTGCACTGTTCTGCAAACGCCTTGGGACACTCTGTCGTCGACATGACGACCTTGAGTATCATTTCAGCCTTAGCCATTCCCTTGACAACGACTTTGGTGTAAGTGGCAGGAGCCTTTCTCGACACCTGACACCCAGTCGACGGTAGATCCAGCAGAGCAGTCTTCAACATGTGAACATCCAGCAGCAACTGCTCTGCCCCAACAGCACTCAGTGGTTTGCACCTGTACAACTGCTGCACGAGCTTGGGAATGAACGAACTCACAAACTTCACACACAACTGCGTGAAGTACTTCCTGCAGGAGGACAGTCTGTCCCTGATGGCAGGAATGGTCTGCCTCAAATGGGCAACAATAGTGCTGACGTAGGGGCTCTGATCTCCAACCCCTTCAATCGCCCCCCACTGTATCTTGATCATCGCTGTCAATGCAGGATCACAGGCGGCTTCCAGGTCCTGCACGAGTAGCTGAATGCAATTCGAAATGACATTGTGAAAAATGTCCTGCTCCTGGGAGAGATTGATCTTATCGGAAAACGCTTTGTCCGTCTTCTCCTTGAGCTTCTCCTCCAACTGCTGAGTGGTCTCCAAGCAGTACTCAGCTGTCGTCAGGATACAGCAGATCCTCGACTGCTCCTCCTTGCTGAACCTAGTGGTCTCCCCCTCCTTCAAGAAGCTCTGAAAGTTCTGAATGAGTCCGGCTGTCGATAAATCCCTGAAGTCCCTCGTAATGCTGCTCATACTGGTCCCCAGGCTCGTCCCCCCGATCTTCGGGAGATTATTCTGCAGAAGCTTGAGGGCGTACTCCCTCAGATACTTCTGGAACGTCTCGGCGAGACTCAGCATGATGGGCCCAGTGCTCAGCTGCGTGCACTGAAGCATGCACTTCTTGTAGAAAACGAAGAGATCAGCACATGAGGACAGCACACTGCTGGGCCCCTCGACTCCGTCGAAGTCCTTGGCTCCTGGGGGCTGACTCTTGCAGTCTGCAACGAACTTCTCCATCAGCTCTGCGAGGTTCCTGTCCAAACTCTCTATGTAGATGTTTAAATAAGGCTCGAAGCATCTGCCCACCAGATTGGCAAAGGGAGTGACAGGTGGCTTATCACTCTCACTTTTTTCAGTATTTCCCTCCTCGAAGGGGTTTCCAGGCACCTCTTCTGCACGGGCCTCCACTTGGGCCACCTTCTTCAGGGGGTCAGAGCCTTCCAGGGTCACCCCTGAAAACCTCTTGGCCAAGAGACTCTCGAAATTCGTTGTCCTCTGTATCGCGTACAGTAGCAACTTCACGTCAATCTCGAGGCGCCTCTTCTGCATCAGCTTGGAGAGATCCTCTCGGGTTACGTTGCAGAACTGCACAGCTATTCTCTCGGATATCTCCCAGTCCAGCGGAAAGATCGTACCGAATTTCTGCTCGAAGTCCATTAGGTGTTTCTTTATCCAGGTGTATCGCTTGTCGATCTTGTCCAGCCACGCGATGTCCTGGTTCTCGTCGAAGAGGTGGGCGTACTCCTGGAGCTGGATACCAACGAACCACGTGAGGAGGTCCTTCTTTACCTTCGGGTCCAGAACTGAGAGGACTAGACAGCCTTCTGTCAACTGGGTGAAGTGTTTAGGGTTCTGGCCTGAGAATGGAAATGCAAAATTACTGGGATTTTGTGGCATTTAATTCCAAGGATTTTAAGATGTTTGTATTATTTCTTATGAATTCTATGAAGTTTCATTTGTCGACGAACAATTGTTGGAAAATGTTCGATTGATAAAAATGTGAAATCATAGTCCGTTTTTAAATCAATTGAATAGTCTTGGATTGAGTCTCAGAGACTTGGAAGAGATTTAAAATAATGCTTCGGAAGAAAAATGAAAATTCACAGGTGAAATTTTTTTCAACAGTTTTGTGACAAGTGATTTTGTCACTTTCGTTCTGATCAAATTGGTCAGTAATTAGTTTGCGGTCAGTGAAGTTTAATTAAAACGTGTAAAATAACGATAAGTTGAAGGGTCAGTTATTTTCGTTGTATCCCTACCTGAGAATGCCTCTTTGAAGTCCGAAGTGATCTGCTGGGCGAGTTCTATCTCTATTTGATGGACTTCACTGGATAATTCCTTGATCTGGGGGATGTCCATGTACGAGCTGAAGTACTGCATCACCTCCATGATGGCTTGGAGCTTCAGGACTATCTCTCCGTACTGTTTCTTCTGGGTTAGGCTTTTTAGACTGTCTACCTCACCCACTAGGACGTGCAGCTTGTTCAGGGACGTGATGGACGCTGTGAGGTTCCTCTTTGCGAAGTCCAGCTGCTTAATGTCTCGGGTGATCTCCTTCACCGTCTCCTCAGACTGCTCTGCTTTGTCTTTTATGTCCTTTATGTGGATGAAGAGCTGGCGGATGACCTTTTGCGCGTCGTCCAGGGCTGCTCTGCCGTCCTGACCCACGTTCGTCTGACCTCGGACGACTGAACGAATCTCCTTGTCGATGGAGCTGATCTTGTATTCCATTTCGTTCACGACGTCGTCGATGTTCGAGAGCGACTGCTCCGTGGGGAACAGGGAGTTTATGTAGTCTACTACGTTGAAGTTTGGTTGGTCTAGGGGGTCTGTGCTTGGGAGAACCTGTGGAGGTGAGGGGCAACAAAATTTTGAGATTTTTTTGGGGAGGTTTTAGGGCTCTGAGATTTAATGAGTATGAAAAGAGAGTGGAGACTCAACTTTACCAGTTTTTTGAGGGTATTTATGGGAAATATTTTAGGAAATCGAATTCATCTCAAGACATAATAATAGGCTTTTCTATGCTAAACTCCACTGGACTAGGTATTTGTTATCAATGTTGTCAGTGCATATAATTAATTTGAACTTTGTTCGGGGAAAAGTGTAATGATAAGTTTGAAAACTCATTATTGAAAGTTTTGGCAATTGAAGAAATGTCAAAATTCATTTTTTCCGTTATTGTGTGAAGATAAAATCCCAAATACATCAGAAAGTTTAAGAATATAAAATAAAATAACTTTTTTTTTTAAACTCAATAACATCCCAATCCAATTGAATCTGTGGTTTAAAAACCGATTCCAAAAATTTTCACAATTATGTTTCCATCTCAACGAACAACAGTAAATGTCAACTAAAATCTATGAATTACGCTCTGTAAACCTCTTCGGTTTTTGCAACTGAAAAAAAAATCTAAAAATTTTCATTTTTCGAAAATTCGTTCCAAATTCCCTAACTGCACTATATACTCTGCTATCGTTTAATAACCTGTTCAATGACACTCTGCACACTCTCCGGGAAGGTATAAACCGTCGACTGCAGCTCCTCGACCTCATCCTCCTCATGAGTCCCCATCATCTCGAAATAGTAAAAACTCCACACTTCACTGAGCACCAAAACTCGTCTCAATTCAATTAAAAATCCAGGTTCTGCTCCGAAATTAACTGTCACACTGCCAGCTGTGGTGACAGGTGCTCCAAAAAATGCCCCGAATTTCTACCTTGCCGATGTTTATGATCGAAACTCCCACGACACCTCGGGGCATTAAAAAGTGATCGTCAAATACACTGGACCAATCGGAGTCAATTGGAAAATGTAAACGTGTCATGGAACAGATGCATATAAACCCGCGGCATAATCCCCTCCGGATTAAATAGAGTATTGAGTTTGCACTCGAGGAAATGGTGGAATTGGTCTGACTGAGAGAACTCTGGGGTTTTATTTTTTAAGTGATTATTGTTGGGACTGGTGAATAATGAGAGTTTTGAGGATGAGGCGAAGTCGCACGGTGAATGCCCTCATTGGCTTGACAGTTGTGGTTTTAGTAGTTTACGCTGTTTGTTCGACATTCTCGACAGATCATGTCAATAATATTAAGGATTATTGGGCCGAGGGACTGCGGGGCAAAAGGGTGAGAGGATTTCATCATTTTATTGGGGTTTGGGACTCTAGGGGAAGCGCTGGAGCCTGCAGGTCTTCTCCAGCGGGAGGGCAACATTCTTTATGACGCGGAGAGGGGGAAGTTGTGGGTTTGAAGGGTTATTTACTCAGATGGGGTCTATTCAATTTTTTTGGGTCAAAAATTCAGAGGGAATTGAAAAATACAGTTTTTTAAAATTTGATCTCCCTGTTTTTAGTTATTAGGAAAAATGGAGGGATTTACAATAATTTTGTGAAGGATTTTTCGTTTCTGGAATTTTCAAAAAGAACTTTTGATTCTGGTGATGGAAAGATTATTTTTTATGGGAGAAATATCAATTTACATTCGGAAACTCAGAGGGAATCGTAATTACTTTTGTTTCATCTTCTATTCAGTTCTGTCTTTTTAAATGTGATTTCGTTATTTTTAATTATTGAACATCGAGGAATGAACAATAATTTTATGAAGTATTTTTCATTCAACGGATATTGATTTAAATGTCTTTCATTTGTTCTTGGGGGATCGGAAAATCAAAGGGGATTGAACTAGCATTTTTATTCTTTATATCTTCTATTCACTTTCAATTTTTCTTTTCTAATTGAGTCGTTCTCAGTGATGTTCGGAATAATTTTCCAAAGTATCGATGTATTCACCAATGATACCCGATAAAAATGCATTCACATATACGCATTTCAGGATTAACTTCCGAGCGGTCGAATAAAATTGAATACCACGTCAGCAATAATAGCAAATACTTCTGTTGGTCAATGACATTGACCAATCTCAGCATTATTCAATAAATATTTCACGAAAAACTTGAACGATTTTTACTTTAACTTCTTTTTTATACAGTCATCGCGTAATTTCAACTTTTCAATAATATTTATAATTTATTTATTACAAATATATTTTCAAACCATAAATTTCCTTCTTAATCATTCATGTATTCTGTTGTCCTGTCTCTTTGAAAATAGAGAACTGTAGAATCGTTTGATCGAGTATTTTTTATATAAAACTCAAACCCCAAAAATTTAATTTCCCTGCAAAATTAGTTTCACCACCCCCCTAATTCGTAACTATTTCCAGTTACAATGTCTCGATAACTGTAGCCGAAAGCCTTCAAAAAATAAAACCCTAAATTCCCGCAATGACAAAAAACAAAGAGAAGCCCTGAATCACGTTTGCAATGGCCTTCAGGTCCCCCGGTTCATAGAAGACCCCGGGAATTTCGAGCCGCGGGACGTGAAGCCGCGCAAGGGTCCCGGTGAGGGTGGCAAGTCCCACGTCCTCCGCGACGACCAGCAAAACGACGTCCAACAGTCGGAATCGGACTACGGCATGAACATGGTCTGCTCCGACGAGATCTCCCTGGACCGAAGTATCCCGGACATGCGCCCGGACGAGTGCAAGCACTGGGACTACCCGGAGCAGTTGCCAAAGACGAGTGTGATCATAGTATTCCACAACGAGGGCTGGTCAGTGCTGCTGCGGACAGTCCACAGCGTGATAAACCGAACGCCGCCCCAATTCCTGGAGGAAGTGCTTCTCGTGGACGACTTCTCCGACAAGGAGAACCTGAAGAGCGAGCTGGAATCCTACATCGAGCGGTGGAACGGAAAGGTTCGACTGCTGAGGAACACGGAGAGACAGGGCCTGATCAGAACTCGCTCGCGAGGGGCCAGAGAGGCCCGTGGAGAGGTGATCGTCTTCCTGGACGCCCACTGCGAGGTCAACATAAACTGGCTGCCGCCCCTGCTGGCGCCCATCGCAGTCAGCAGCACTGTGATGACAGTCCCAATAATCGACGGAATAGACCACAAGACCTTCGAGTACCGTCCGGTGTACCAGGAGGGCCACCTGTACCGTGGCATCTTCGAGTGGGGGATGCTGTACAAAGAGAACGAGGTCCCCAAACGAGAGTTGAAGACTCGAGCCTACTCCAGCGAGCCCTACAAGTCCCCCACCCACGCTGGAGGGCTCTTCGCCATGAACAGGAAGTTCTTCCTTTCCCTGGGGGGTTACGACGAGGGTCTCCTGGTCTGGGGTGGTGAGAACTTCGAGCTGAGCTTCAAGGTCTGGCAGTGTGGGGGGAGCATCCTCTGGGTGCCGTGCTCCCACGTGGGCCACGTCTACAGGGGATTCATGCCCTACAATTTTGGAAAGCTCGCGCAGAAGAAGAAGGGACCTCTCATCACCATTAATTATAAGAGGGTCATTGAGACGTGGTTCGACGAGAAGCACAAGGAGTTCTTCTACACCAGGGAACCCCTAGCCAGGCTGCTGGATCACGGTGACATCAGTGAGCAGCTCAAGTTCAAGGAGAGGAAGAAGTGCAAGAACTTTCAGTGGTTCATGGACAATGTGGCTTATGATGTTTACGATAAGTTTCCAGAGCTGCCGCCGAATATTCATTGGGGGGAGCTCAGGAGTGCTGCCACTTCAGCCTGTCTGGACACCATGGGGCAGGCACCACCGACCTTGATGGCCACTTCGCATTGTCATGGGTATGGGAACAATCAGCTTGTGAGGCTGAATGCCAAGGGGCAGATGGGGATTGGGGAGAGGTGTGTCGAGGCTGATAGCCAGGGGATTAAGCTGGCCTTCTGCAGGCTGGGGACTGTTGACGGACCCTGGCAGTACGACGAGAAGACCAAGACTCTTCTTCATAGGGTTCACAAAAAGTGCGTGGCTTTTCATCCGCAGACTCATCAACTTTCACTCATGCCGTGCGATGTTAACAATGTTTATCAGCAGTGGAGTTTTCACCAGATACATCCCGACTGGTGAAAGTCGAGGGCATTGTTGCGCACAGGTCTCTACTATTGAGTACTTAAGACTAGCTGTGAAGTTTTGGAGGATAGGGGTTTTTGGGAGGAGTTGGGAGGTAGATATTTGCAGAATTGGGAGAGTTATTTTGAATAGTTGGAGTTTAGTCTATTTTATGAGTCTGGTGGGGTTTTGCGGGACTTTGTTTAGTGCTGGTTTTGAGAATTTAAACACGTAGTTTTTTATTTTTATAAATAGTGAGGGATTAACGAGTTGTATTCGTGAAATTTAATGAGTTGATGGCAAAAGCTGAAAGTGGAGTTATTTTGAAGGTTTGGAGAAATGCCGTTTGCAGTTTATGATATGCATGATTAAAAATATCTTCAGTTTTTAAGGGGAAAGTAATGTTTACAGCTGAGAAATGTTGGATTTAAAGAAAATTACTTTTCCTAATTTTTTTGATACTCTTAGGTGTTTTATGACACATCAATTGGAGTTTTTGGAGTGAAAAATTTCATGCAACAAAATTGAATTGAGTTGTGAGGATTTCCGTAATCATTTTGCATTTTTGGAGAGCCTCTGTTTCTCTTCTACTATGATATAAATAAAAAATTATCCCTTTACTCTCTCGTTACACTAGATCGATAGAGTTGTAATTTCGTGAATCCAAGACTAAATAAATCAATCTTCCTGATTTTTCTGATACTCGTAGGTACTCAAGACATTCCGCCAAGTCATTCCTCATGATTCTTGAACCAGTGTTTACACACGTCCCAATTTTATAAGATTTTTTTAGCCCAGGATCTTCCACTTGACAGAGATTAAAGTTCTGGACTTAGTTCAATTCTTGGTATACGATTTATGAAGAAAACCCTCGAATGTATAGTGAATCATTTACTTGTGCCGAATTTATGTAATTGTGTGAATCAATCAAGGATTCAGCAACCTCGAAACTATCAGAATCGACTAATACCTAGATATAAATTGAATGAAAAATCTAAAAAAATAGGTATCTGCACTCAAGAACTAACAAATAATTTTTTATATCTAAATATAAAAAATGACTGACAAAAAATCATTGAAGAACAAATTTGTTTAATCTACCTGTTAATTCATTCACACCGAACTCGTGTAATTTAATATGCCAACAATTACTATTTTATTACGAAATAAATGATGTTTATATTTACGTCAACTATCCCATTCATTTAATCCCTAAAATCCCCCCAAATTCTAAAATAATGAAAAAATCAGGTGAATAAATGTTGAATAACTTTATTAATCGTATGAAAAGCAGTTGACACCAGCGACAGGCCCCGACAGCCCCTCACAATTCCACAATGTGATCAATGAAAAGTCACTCGAATGAACAATAGTAAAAAAAACCCCTTATTGATTTGTATTGACAATATCATCGATTTTGAGTATACTCCTCACAGTTTCCGAAGCTAAAGTAATACAGCTAGTGGACACCAGCAGTGGCTGTATGACATTCTCCTCCAGAATATTCGTGATGGTTCCCTTCCTGACATTGATCCCAGCAGTGATTTCCCCCTGGGCATGTCTATTCCTCAGCTCCGTAACCGTGGCAATAGGATTCAACCCAGCATTCTCCGCCAACGTCGATGGAATGATCTCCAAGGCATTGGCAAATGCCTTGATGCAATAGGCATCAACACCCCCCAGTGTCTGGCCATAAGCCGAGAGTTTCAGTGCCAGTTCAATCTCGGGAGCTCCGCCACCAGCGATCAACGCCTGCTCCTTCACGAGACAACGAATGACGCAGAGTGCATCGTGAAGAGAGCGTTCAGCCTCCTCGAGGACGAGTTTATTGCTGCCACGAACGAGTACAGTGACCGTTCGTCCTGGATTCTGGATTCCAGTGATCCTCACGAACTTCGAGGCTCCAGTCTGCACCTCCTCGACGTGCTCAGCAGACACCAGATTCTCAGCTGTGAAGTGATCCAGCGAGGCAATTGGCCTGCACCCCAGGGTCTTGCAGACAAAGGAGATGTCCTCACGCTCAATATCCTTGATCACCATGACCTTGATCTTGTCCAGGAAGTGAATGGCAAGATCACTGATGGCGTCACGCAGAATTGACTTCTGGACGAGGAGAACATTGCAGCCAGACTTCTTGATCTGCTTGACGATGTTCAGGATGTAGGCACGCTCTTCCTTGAGTACTCGATCCATCGCTGAGTAGTCCGACACGACGACATTGTGATCCATGTCGGTTTTGGGGGGAGATATGCAGAACTGGATGAGACCGATCTTCGCTTTCTCGATCCTCTTGGGGCCGTTTACGTTGCAGGACTTCTGGGTGAACACCAGACCCTCGATCAGCTCTGTGTCCTCGACTGTGCCTCCCAGCTGCTTGATCACCTTTATGTCACTCAGGTCTGTGGATTTTTCACGTCCAGGGTCGATGATCTTCAGGACTGCGTCCACAGCGAGGGGAGCCAGCAGTGAGGACTGCTGGAATACCACTTTGGAGTTCAGGGATGTGGCCGCTGCTTTTACCAGGGACTCAGTGTCGTTCAGGTCCACTGGGATCGCCATTGACCAGCTGAGGATCTCCACCGCTTTCACTGCTGCCTTCTGGTAGGCCTCGCTTATCGCTGTGGGGTGGATTCCCTTTCGCAGGAGCATCTCAGCTCCCTCCAGGAGGGAACCCGCTACCACTACCACGCTGGTCGTTCCGTCACCTGCTTCTGAGTCCTGGGCTTTTGATAGCTCCACCAACTGGAAGGGGATTGGGGGATCGGCTTTATTGCTTCGTTTTATTGAGGGGGTTTCAATTATTATTTTTTTGTTTCGTTTCTTCAGGGGGGAATTCTTCAGCTATCCATTTTGTTAGTTGAATTGCAGGAGAAACGGTTGAACAATTCATGAATCTCTTTTGAACATTCACTTCTTGTTAATAAGTGATGGAGACTGGTTTTTTATTTAAAGTTTAGGTCATTGAAGGGGTTTTCAATTGTTAACTCTCTATTTTGTTTCATTATTCATCGCAATTTTTAATCATTAAATTTGGCAATTGAATGGTGTAAGATAAATTTGAGGAATTCATGAATTCATGAAGATTTTAAATATCCCCTGCTTATGGACAAATCACGAGAGTTGTTCAAATTTTTGGAAATGTTATTTTTTTTAACATAAAATTGACTTTTAGAGAAATTCTGAATATCAACAAGATTTTCACGATTTCTAATAATTTTTAGAGTAGAAAATAGATAGTATGTAAATTATTACTATTAACCAGTGATAATTTTGTGCAATTTTCAATATGTTTTGTGAATCAAAAGGAAATATTCTGCACTTAATTCAAATGAAACGAGTGGTCAATTCATTCAAAGAATATTCCCATACTGTTTTGCTCACTTACCATTTTAGCCGCTGGGTGGATGACATTCATCTGCTGTAGAATAGTAGCACCATCGTTTGTAATTGTAACTTCGCCATTTGCAGCTTGAATCTGCAAAACAAATTTCCATCATCTCTAATTCCTCCAATTATGGAGACAATCCGATATTAAATACCCCTTTGGTTCGTAATTGTTGAATAAATATCGACGAGAAAATGGATAAAAAAATACGTAATGCAAATTATCGATTAAAACAATGGAATTGCAGGAATGAATTGCGTGTTTACCATTTTATCCATCCCACGAGGGCCCAGACTGGTACGAATAGCATCACAAACAGCTGCAGAATTAAAAAAAAAACGAAAATTAGTGTGACCCATAAAAAATTTGATTATGAGACTCATGAGTGACTCGACCGGTGTGTGGGTTATGCCCATAAAAGGTAACTTTTATGCTCCAGCACACGAGCAATGATTCCACCCCCAAACACCTCAAAATCACCCACAGGATGTCAAATACCTTTGGCAGCCTGAATATTGCTGCTGCGAATGTCTTTGGGTTTTGTCCTGTCCTGAAAGGCTTTTCCATGAGCCTGGGTGCGTCTTGGCTCGCCGACTTTGCTCAGTGCCGTCATTTTCGCCTCTACGTTCGTTGTACTCAACCTCTGAACATCAAAGACAATTCTAAAACTTAAACTTTTCACACTAACTTCTGATACTTTAACAATTCTTAAACTTTGTGCTGTAAATAGCCAACTTACGGTTTTGTAAAATTTTTTAATTGTAAAAAATTGTCTCAGAGTCGATCAGCACGCGGTAACGGCAGCGTTGGACACGAAAAACATCCGACAGATTCGAGAAACTCCGAAATATGTGGCGACTGCCTCTTCTCCACCTGACGAGGGATTTTTTAAGCTCTTGATCATGTCAGAACGGAGCAAAACGTAAATAAACATATTTTTGGACTTTGGAGTTTTTGGAATCAATATTATTTTCGAGAATATGGATGAGGAGACATTGAACAGGTACTAATTAATCTGGGGAAAATTAATTGAAGGATGAATTTAGTGCATTCAGGTGAACAACAGACAGCTAGAAAATGGAGTAATATTGTTTTTAGGCTAGCTGCTGAGGCTCTGATCGAAGAGGCGAAGGTTGGAGCTCGAAGGGCTGAAATAATGGGCCCCAGTGGCTGGGTGAAACCCAAGGAGACCATCAACAAACGATTCCTACGTTCCACACTGCGAAATGCAATTCTATCCAACAGGCACAAACAGAGATCGAAGGAGAAACGGTGTGAGACGTCCTCCCACAAAGATAGCAGTTCCAAAAATGATGAGAGGTCCAGGAGTAAGAGGAGAGAATAGTTGACTACTTGGGTAATGACTTATCATGACAAGAGAAGTGTAAAAATTGTTTGTCAATTATTTATCCCTCTAATTTTTTTACAAATAAATCATAATAAGCAAAAGTGAAAATCGACGATAAACTCAACTCAATTTCATTAAATTCCCTCAGAATTATTCAAAACAAACTCACACTCAGTTCTATTAAATTCCCTTACAATTATTTTTCCTTGCAAATTTGTAAAAAAAAAAGTTCAATGTAAAATTTTTTATTTTTTAATCAAAGGGAAATCCAACTAATACCTCACGGAGATAAAATGCTAATAATGACGAGAGGTTCAGGAGCAGAAGGAGAGAAAGTTCAGGACTTGGATAATGACTTATCATGACAAGAGATGTGTAAAAAATTATTATTCAATTATTTATCTCTCTAAAATAGTATTTTAATAAATCATAACAAGTAAAAGTGAAAATCGAAGACAAGTTTGTATCAAACTCACACCCAATTCTCCAAATTTACCTCAATTATTTTCCCTGCTAATTTGTAAAAATTTCATAAGCACCAAAGTACGACTTCGAAGTACGAAATTTCATATTCCAATTGCATTCACAGTTTTCAAATGAGTCTCAAAAAATTATCAAAATCCAATTTTCCACTTTTCACTTATAAAATACGCATATACAATTACAATAATTAAAATATTTTGCATTGATAGGTTGCTCACAACAGTTCAGTTGATTTCTCGATATCTTAGAATTTTTTTCTAAACAAAACAAAAGGAGAAACTAATGGCTTGATTGTCCGGCAAGAGCTGCCATCGTTAGCCCACTTTTTGTGTGAATACAGTCACTGCAACATTACCTATCTGAGTGCCAATGGATGATAAGAAAATTTATCAGGTCCACTGACTATTGCAACTCTTTGTGTTGCCTAATGACGCATTGACATTGTACCGAGAGCCTAATAAACGCTCGAGAACTAAAGGCAATTCTTGATACGAGTTTTAGCTCAACATGATCATTTGGAGCCATTTTTCTGGCGCTCGGTACTCTTGTAGGTCACCATGAGGTCTTTCATGTCTGCGAGGGCTTTTTCTATTCCTCTTGCGAATCTTGCTGAATCCTGAAAGCAAAATTAGGTAAACTGTCAATTAATTCGAGATGAGTAAAGAGTAAACAGACTTTTCTTTTCTTTAATTTCGGATATCAAGAGAACCTTCTCGTATAATTCATAATTTTAGATGAAAATATTGATATTCTTCATTATGATTTAAAAAAAGTCCTCAAACTGATATTGAAAAGACGTGTACTCTCAGGTGAACTAGTTTTTCTAGAAATATTGTAAAAAACAAGATGTTCCCCAGTAATTACACGAAAGTCCATGACGAAAAAAGTGGGAATTGAATTGAATGAATAATTGAGCGATTTCTTTTATGAATTTAAAGGAATGGATATTCAAATATCCTTTCCAATGTTTTATGTTGATTTACAATTAAATTTATTCTCATCATCATTCATTGATCACCCACGTCATTCAAGCAAAAATTCCTCAACAAAACAACCTATTTGAACTTCTGAAAAACTTTTCCTTCCATTAAATCTATTTCTGATAAAAGTCTGAGTATGAAAAAATTTTTTACGGTTAAAAAAATTATTATTTTATAATCGTTTATGAACTGTGTCGTAATCTTCACAAACGCTATTCTTCAATGATTTTATGAATCTTCTTAAAAAAAATTTAAAACCCTTCTTAATGGCTGAACAAATGAAAAAAAAAATAACATGTGAAATACTCACAGTTTCAGGTGAACTAGTTTTACTAGAAATATGGAAGAAAACGAGATTTTCTCCAGCAATGATATAAGAAACTCCATATCCATCGTCAGCAACAGGGCCAAATCCTCCCCCAGCGGACAAGCAATTGGGATGTTTCTTCAAGTCTATTTTGGACGTCTGCCCATGAGGGGTCTGCGATGTGGACAGCTTCCAGGGTTCACTGAGAACCTCCTTGAGGAATGGAGAGTCGACCTCCAGATATTTGGACACCACATAAAGACAGAACAGATGTCTGTCGATTCCCTTCCCAATCATGGCGTCCTGATAGCCACGCTGATGCTGATCAGTCGCAAGCCTGAGGAGCTTGTACCTCTCCTCAACACTCTTCGACTTGTCCTCCATGGCTTTCACCCAATTAGCCGACTCAATGGTGCAGGGACGAACAGTCTCAGTCCTTCCCTCCCTGTACAATCTCGTCATCGATGCCTCATAAGTAAGTGAGAATCTCCCTGCATCTCTGTAATAAGCGAGCTGCAGTGCCATTTGAATGTAGGCATCCGGTGACATTGAGCACTTCTTCATGAAGCCCTTGCCATAATGATCGTGTTGATAAATACGCAGATCTACGTCGTTCAATAAATTATTAGCTGCCTAGAAAATGATAAATGTCAATTTACAAATCACACGTGAAAAATACATAAATTATTTTTTATAAATTAAGAAGAATGGACTTTTTTAATTAAATTCAATGTATTGTGGAGAAAAAACTCACTTGCACTGCGTCTTCTACTACTTCGATGCCCTCACTGCTGAACTCCCACTGCAGACGAGATGGTACCAGTTTGAACTCCAGAGGTCCAATGGTATGACCGTCCTCAGAATATCTTCAAAAATTGAATAATAATGAGCGAAATGCTCCAATTGGGTCCGATGGGGCGAAATAGAAACTTGAGATTTATTTTAATCTTCAGGGGAGACCGAAATTTAGAAATCACTTTCATCTATTGTCTTAATGAGTTTGTTAAAGCTGTTGTTTCAATGCAATTCTCAATAAATTGACTTTAATTTCGGTTTACATATGAAGAATATATGCATAAATATAACTAAAGGTCTCTGTGATTTTGAAATTCCAGTGTTGTCTCCCCTTAATAACTCATTGAATTTTTATGCAAATGGAGTAAATTTTCTCTGTGCAAACTACAATTTTTTCCATTACGATGAGCCGTTGGGAGAAAGTAAAAAGTGTCTATTTTGCCCCACCCTCCCCTATTGTTCCACAGATAACGCAATTTCATTATGTACAGCATGCGATGGCATGAAGCAATAGTTCAAGATAAAACAGTGATGCGCAATGCAAAAAAACGCATTAATGAGACATTGCACAGTACATGAGATTATGGACCAAGTAAATCATCCTAAAACAAAAAACTAAGTGTCATTTCCAATGGAGTGATAACAGGTTATTTTCAACAAGCTTAAATTACCCAGTATCCGTTATATCAGTGGAAATAGCGTTTTCCCACATTGTTCCCATCACCGGTGCGTCGGCCCTGAATAAATAAATCAACAGAGATAATTAAGCAGAGAAAAAAGCAGATAAACGTAACATCAACGAAGAGGGTGCCGAAGAAAATGATAAATTATGATAAACACAAATGGCAGTTGAGCAGATTATGCAGAGATAGACCATCGCAGACATTAAGAGTTTTTTCTTGATTTTTTTGCTGATTTTTTTCGTCATTCTTACACATTGTTCAGCGCAACATCCCAATACAGGATGAATTCCCAAAAGTGTGACATCACGGCTGCATCCGCCCTGTTTGTTGCATTTCAATGTAACAGTGTTTTTTTAATTGTACTCTTTGGGATTGGTTTCTCTTATTTTGGGGGTGTTTATGGGTGGAATATTGGTGTTGTCTCGGGTCGAGTGAAAATTGGAAAGACATTATTAGAACGTTGTGAGGATGAGAATTGGATTCTTACTTACCAGGAGTGCTCGGCGTTGAAGCCTATTCTGCCATTGCTGCCGATGCAGAGGGTAAAGGACTTGTCGAACCATCTGTCGTAGCCTTTCCCGTGGAGAAGGTCTCGACCGTATTTATCTAATTTCTCAGGATGTGCCTGGATGGAAAAGGGGAGAGAATGAGTCAGTGGCGAAGCAGTAAAACGGTTCAAGTCGATTTTTACTATTGGCTAGTTTCAATTAATAACATTTGAACATTTGTCGAATCAAATGCGAAACTTTTTTTTCAATATTTATGCTTTATGAAGTTACTTTTTCATGAGATTTACTTCTGAGAATATTCTGAATGCAAAAAAATTATAAAATGATTTGAATGTATGCAGATGCCTTACGCAAATTTTTAATCCTTACGTCTGTTGACAATCGAGTCAACAGCGCAAAAAATCAATTTTTCTTCAACATTCGCATCTTACGAATACATAATAAAGTATCGGACAGTTTTTTGCACTCAATCGACTTTTGAACATGCATTTAATCAAACTCTGAATATGGGCAAGTCTACTACGATTTCTAAGAACGACTTTTTGGGGAGAAAAAATCATTGTTTATAAATTATTAATTTTCATTAAAAAATTATTATTTTTCATTTTCTTCTAAATTTCCCACAAAATGTAAACTACTCAACTTTTTAAAATGAATAAACACGCTTCTCAACGGTTAAAAACGGCGAATTAAATTGATAAAACGAAGAAAAATAACTCAACTTATTGTGAATTCTTAAAAATACGGAAATTCTCAAACCAAGAAGAAATGTTCGTAATAAAATAAATATCCTTGAACTGAGAATAAAATAGTCTCAACCCCAGTACGCTATTTTCCATTATTCCGTAAATAAAACCACACAATCGATTAAATGAATAAATTCCAAACTTACCGGATCGTATTCATAAGGATAATCATCGAGAGTGACGAAGAAGGCAGATTTTTCGATGAGATCCAGTGAAATTTTATTGGTTCCCTTGACAAAATGTGTCTGCCTGGCTTGAGCCCACGACGTTCTGTCAATAGCAGTGAGAGCCGCAAGTTTCTCCTCCCCCTTCTGTGGCTCCGCATTATGATCAAGGATATACTGTATCTGATGCTCAATCTCACTAGGATTCAAAATCCTGTTCTTGTAATAAATGAGAACCTTGTAGTAGCATCCCTTGTGATAAACGATGATGTGCTTTGAATCGTTGTAATGAACAATCCTGTCTGTTTCGATTCCGGGCACCCTAGTCGTATTGAACACTCTCTCGTACTGCCACGAGCAGAGGGGCACAATTCCCTGGAGCATGATGGGCTCCAACTCCTGCCTCTCGATGGACCTGCGATACTGAAGACAACCATAGATAACACTTGCAGCTCTTGATGCTTGAGTTCTTACAGGCTCTGCCATAACAGCATCGATACCGAAAAAATTTGAGTTGACCATTATTGGCGATCTTCCACGGAGATAGACGTACTCCTCCCACCAATCAGAAACGTAATTCGTTGACCACCAGGATTTTAGAATGAGATAACGCTGGAGTTTAACAGCTATTCCCTCCTCAAACTCTTTGGCGAGTTTCTCCATTCTTCTGTAGTTTTCGTCGTCAAGAAGTGGTCTAGCACTTCTCAAATACTGGAATTTCATTCGTAAAGAATTGAATATGAAGAAATTCTCTTGAATTTCTGGTGGAACTCTGGGAGTGGGATTTTTATTTTTCTGTAGAAATTTTTGGGTATAAATTTCAGAAAATTTACTCTGTATTTTTCTTCTTACTTTTTAAATATTGAATTTAATTCATGGAGACTTGTAAATCATTCCAATGACTTTAATGAATACATTCATGAAAGAGTGATACGAGTTCATATTTTTTAAATTGCAATAAAAACGTGAATAAATTTTTCCGCACCGCAACTTCCGTGGGGTATAGGTGAACAAAAATGAACATGCAAAACGCATCTTTAGAAAATATTGTTTGGGGTGGTACATGATTGTTCATGAATTATTCGTAAAGAGTCATAATCTTCATGAATTGCTATTTTTCAATTATTTTTTGAATTTTCCTGTCTTCAAATCTTAAAAATGTGCCCCAAACTCTGATATTTAAATACAAATGTTGGGGAGAATTTCATTAAAAACAAAAAAGTCGTTAAAAATACTAAAATTCTCAGACACCAATAAATCGTAACGTGTTACGAAGTCCCCCCCATCTCCTGAATCATTCACCTTACGATTTATGAATGCATTCATGAAAGAGCGAAAGAAGTCCACAACTTTATCGTCTGGAATAAGAAAGTGAATAAATTTCTGTCCAATGCAACTACCGAGTGGAATGAAAATATAGCTGTTGGGGATAAACCGAAGTGTGGATGACCTGGGCATCACTAAATCCATTGTGTAATATGTTTATTTACCCTTTGCATTGTGTCCTTTACCGATGGCAATGGTAATCTTGGCAGTGAGCCTTGGAAACTGTACAACATTGGTTTTTGCCATCCTGACAGAAGCTTAACAGCGATAACCCAGGCACGAGTGGACAGGCTGATCTTCTGCCCAGGCCCCCTCGACTCGTACATCCAGCCCTTGTACATGAGCAGGAGTTTCAGGGTGTATCGAAGGGTGTAGATCGCTGTGATCCATAGTAAAAACCCCGCGACTATTGATCCACCCAGATGAACTGGTATCGATGACCTGTAATGGTTTTTCTTTAGATTCGTCAAATTCGAGTATCGAATTGGGAAAAGGGAACAGAATAAGACGAATCGATTTTTGAAATATTCTTGAGGATGTCCAACGACTTAATGCACACGTTTTCAATTCCCTAGGATTCATAAATTTGTCATTATACTGTTGGAAATTTTGTGCAGTTTAAATTCTGAATGTTGTAAATTTGAAGTCAACTCATGGTTCGTCAGTGAAAACGTGAACATTTAATGTAAATTTTTCGTTTTAAAAAAATTCAAGAGTAATTTTTTAGCAGTGCATTTATTGAAGTAAATAAATACGCATTCAGTTACGTTTCATTCAATGTTCATATCCAGCAAAACAAAATCGCAAAAAACTATTTTAAATTCATCTCAATCCATTTTCTCATATTCCTAAAGAGTATCAATAAAAACATGAATATTCAATGTAAATTTTTCGTTATTAAAAATTTTACAAATAATTTTCTAGCAGTGCATTTATCGAAGTAAAAAATACGGTTTCAGTCACGTTTCGTTCCATGTTCATATTCACCCACAAGAAATCGCAGAACCCTATTTTAAATTTGTCTCATCCTATTTTCTCCCATCCCTAAAGAGTATCAAATGTAAAAAGATAGTTGCAATTTACCCTTCGAGATATGGTGCGACCTTTCCAACAAGGTCGAACGGCACTTTAAAACCTGCGAAATGAATAGCGGTTACCACTGCTATTGTCAACCACAGGCTGCCCAAGGACGCTGGATATACACCAGTCCGCAAATTATTCTGTGAATGAAAAAACGATTTTCCTAGTGATTGACGTATCAAGTAATTCAACAGGCCCCGCTTTTTCTCCAATGAATTCTCCTGAATGTCTATTGAAACCTCATAAAAACGCTATTCTGTTAAAACTCGATTGAATAAGTTTGTCGATTGTTTGCGCCAATTCCGTTGAAGATTCTGCAACTTTATCGTTTCATTTTCTCATTGATGTTCGATGGAAAAAAGTGAAAAGATTGTCATTTTCGGCTGTATTTTCATTTGTTTCTTGTTAAAAAAAAATATCTCCAGGAATTCTTCTAGAACTTAAACAAAATGCCAACAGAATGAGCTTTTCTATTAAATTTTTTATTAAAAACAAATATTTCTTATTCATTAATTTTTTGGATTGTAACGGAATCGCACGTTAAATTCTGCTTTATGATTCTATAGCAATAACTGTTATATGGACCATCATATATTTTGATTAAATAAATAAATGAATAAAGTCCACCCCTTTCCCTGAATTCCCCGTTTACTCGTCACAATATCACACGTACGAAAAAAGCTGTATAAAAACCTATCGAATTCATTAAGTTTTTCAATGAAATTCATTCGTGCGTGCATTGATTATCCACTTGAACGATCAAATGACTCTCGCGTTCTTAAAAAATTGTGTCCAATCCGAGCTATTCTTGGATCTCCCTTGAATCGTCACGATACCGCAGATATTGCTAACAGTAAACTTACGTGAAATCTGAAAAAACGTTTTTTCCACGATCTCAAGCCGGACTGCCAAACGAGGTGAAGAACCTCACGGTCAAAATTCACATCCCAGCCCTCGTGAGTTATGGAGAAGCTGAAAGCAACGGCTGAGTGTGCCTCCGCCATGCCTGCTGCCTAATTACTCTGCGAAAAAAATTAAGTAAAACCATTGAAGGAGTGATTTACTCCAACAATCCCAGGACTTATCAACTCAGACATTGAAAAAATAAAACGGGGATGAAGTAACCAAGTTGTAGATTGAAGCATGTTGCACACAGCCCGGGACCAGTTGACCTTATTTAAACCCATAATTGTTTTTGTGCTGTTGCATGTGTAATATGAGGTCGAAGTATTTTCGCAACTCGGAAAAATAACGAGGAAGAGAAAATATCATTTACTCGATAATATTATTTCGAATTATTGGACTTTCAACTTGAATTTCCCATCATATCCCTTTTTCAATCATCCACTATTTCAATAAACATTCAATTGAATGCTTATTCTTTCTTTTTATATTTCACACCACCCATTAAAACTCGAAGAATGTTCATCTGAGTGAAAACAATTTCAATTCCATTCCACAACTCACATTCACTTGATAGAAAATGAAATGTACTATTTTTCAAAATAAAAAAAATGAAATATTATCTCACTTCTCATTCTGTGACACTGAAATGCTGATTATTTATGAATATATTAATTAGTAATTCAAACAGCTCTAATTATGCAGCAATTAAAAAAAACCCAGACAGGAACGAAAAAATCATGAACAGCCGCAAAAACAAGCCGAAAACCTCAACAGATTTTCGATTCGTCGCTGAAATCTTGGAGAAAGCTGATGAAGAATATAGTAACTGTACCTACATGTGTGAGATATAAATACATACAACATATATTTAATGTGTGAAGGCGTCATGGACACGAGTAGTCGACCGGTTGGACTTTGGACCCGAGTACGAAGCAACACAGCTGTTAGGTACTCACAATTTATGGGTTGCTTTCGATGTGTATTTTGTTTCAAAATCCCTCATCGCGGGAGGCTCGACCCTCTTCCCCTCCCACCCCCTCCCCAACCGGCCCCCTGCCGCAGCGATCTTATCAACAAGATATTAATCGAAAAAACAAGGGAACAAAACTTGCAAAGAAGATAGTTATTTTTCCTTTTTTTCCTTCAATCCCGCCGATCAAAGTCCGACTTTGTTTATCAACTATTCCGTCATAGTTTACCTATCGCTACAAGTGTTTGCGACATGCGAATTGACAGAGAAATATAATTCATTGACTCGCATTGGGATGAATAATGTTTCTCATTGTCTATCGGTTACTCATTGATAATCTCTGTTTCACGGATTTTTGGTCACATCTAGTCGTGATCGAAGTGCGATTAAATTAATCCGGCAAATTCTCGACATATTAGCGACAACCACGTGGGCTAAATTGGACTTTGTACCGATGAAGTATGCGATTCTGATGGTTTCAAAGCCAGTCATCATATTAAAAATCCCAACGCAGCAGTTGGCCTTCACTCACATTTACATTTGACAAGTTGCCACTACTATTATGCGCTACCTTATAGTTTTAGCTGAAGGGAGAAAATGAAAACAGGAAACTTATCATATTGCACGATTTTATAAAAATACTTTAACCTCAAGTTTTGTCCCTAAATGATGGATTTTTCATTTACAAACGTTAGAAATATTGTTCGTTAATTAATAATTGATTGTCGAAGGTTGAAGATTTCAAGCGCTTTGAAATCGCTAATGACGTCACAAGGGTGGAACGTCGGACCAATCACAGAGCGGCTCGAGCCAACCTAACCCAATCTTCCCGTGCGACTTATCCAATGGATGACGGCGACTCCCCTCTCTCCTCACATTCGACCAATCGAGCGCTATCCAACAGTACTTATGCCACTTTGTGACGTCAGGACCGAAATAGCGGATTTCGAAAAAATCTGATTTTTAATCAATGATTGTAAAATATCTGAGCAATATTTCTCCATAATTAGCTATCTATTGGTTATGTAGAATGGGTGAATAGGGAAATTTGTCGTCAGAGAAATGGTGATCTCATTCTTCACTTAATAAACATTCTTCGATGGAGTTCTACACATTTCCCAGATGAATTCATGCAAGAATTCAGTCAATAATCAAGATCAATCGTCCTTAGTGCCAAATAAGCTTTAAAACATGTGATAAAATGACAGTAATAATTAAATTTGCTGTCACAGATACATGAAAGAAATTAATCATGACTCTAATTAAATCGAAATGAGCTCCAAAAGAGATGACGAAAAATTCATTCAGGTCATTTTCAAGGCCAGCTTCTCATACGTAATGAGTACTGTAATGGCAAAGTCATCATTTCGACGATACACAGAATCCGTGCAGTCAAAACATGCGTAAATCTCGTGATAATTGTCGCGATTGATACGAAATAAATAAAAAACAACGGATGTCGGACTTTTCAAAATTTAACGACTGCAGTCTCATCGGCAGCTATTTTTCCTCTACCTTTACTCTAATTAAAAATGTCAGACAATGGTGGCATGAATATTCACAGACTTGCACGGGGCTGGGGGTCAAGGATTTATTTCCCTGGGGCTTTGACAACTTCAATACGAAGGAAAACAATTACAGAATATCCCTCATGTTCATTTTAGTGTTTTTTTTTCATTGTTGTAAAGTGATGTAACCCATCCATTGAGTTATTTATCTTATCACAAAATTATTAAATCTTACACTGCCTTCACTAAATTTTTCTGAATCAAAAACATTTTTTTGGGCCTCGCATTTTTTTCGGGCTTGTGAATAAAATTTCCGCAATATTATTACTCTGGGAATTTCAAGTAAATAATCCTGAAATTTTTAACGACTCATTAATATGAAATTTCCATATATTCTTTTACTGAAAAATCACTCAATTTCGGGAGTATTCAATGAAATTGCCATTTCCAGGTCCAGATGATAATTAAAATGATCAGAAATTTGTAAAATTCAAGCAACTATTTTTCAGAATTTTCAATCTATCACAAATTTAATCGACTGCATGTTTAATTATCATAAGTAGTTTGTTAATCCTAGCTGTTACTGAAATATCTACAACTTAATTTGGCTTGCAGAATACTCCTCAGGTTGATTTTAGTGTTTTTTTCATTGTTTCAAAGTGATGTAACCCATTTGAGTGTCGTATTTGCACTGTCGCATAATTACTAAAGCACTGCCTTCAGTATTTTTTTTTGTAAACTAATACCGTGAATTATCTTAGTTTCCGACTTATTCCAAAATCCCATCCAACAATATCCTGTGACGTCACAGGATGTGGAATGCTATATAAACCCCCGGCAATAAATGCTAAGAAAAAAAAAGATTCAGAATACTTCGACCTTTTTTTCAAGGACTCCGGTACAAAAAAAAGTTTATTTTAGTTGTTGAAGTATAATAGAAGTGAATAAAGAACTCGGGGATAATTGGCGCAAGGTCAATAAACATTGGAGTATACCGTTTTGGTCGACGTATGGTCACGACGTGTCAAACGTAGACTCATGCACGCCAGCTGATCGCTGATACCTTAGAATCTATTTTCAAAATCATTTGACTTTTTACGGTTGAAATCGATTTATGGAAATTTGTGGTGAAAGAGCTGTTGAATATTCATGAGAGATTGATTGTAAGCACTTGGGAAATCAACCTCGCATCAACGAAATTTTATAATCCTGTACCGCAAACAAACGAAAAGGAAAGGAGAAGGAGAAATATACGCGATTATTTATCGATAAACAGATGAAAATACGTATATCAGTCATTCGTAAAAATTACTGATTTATCACCTAGAGCCCCTGTATTTTATTCCGCTGTTTATTACCGCACAGTTGAAGAAGTAAACGTTCACAACAATTATCCTCAGTCATTCAATCTCATCAACACCAGGAGCTCGTGTGGAAAAAATTTTCTCGGAGAGTAAAGACTTTATAGGAAAAAGTAACAATGCCTGGGTTAAAGTCAATGAGTCTTTTGAGTAAGAAAATAAACTGCTACATTGTGAGAAGACTAGCAGCAGGAATCAATAAAAAAATTGTTGTGTCACGTAGAAAAAATATGTTCAGTTTTTCTCTCAATTTTGTTGTTGAAGATAAATTTTTTATTTTATTCAATATTCATAGTTGAATGTCAGTTGCAACAATAAAATAAAATTTAAAGATACGAAAGATTTATGAAATAAAAAAAAATGCAACTGTCTAAGATCTTCCCTCCATACATGATTTATAAACCATCGATTGTTCCAAGCATCTCCATAATTTATTCTCAACAAGTGGATGTTTGAAGAAAGTGTTGAATTTTGTCTCCAGTCAAATTAATCGTCTGATTCGATGATTGACAATTATCTAAAAATTGTGGAGACGTTGTCCACATTTTTTAAAGGGAATCTTCCATCTTAATTCATAAATCCAATCAACAAGTGAACCAGGGGATTGAGCGCAGTAACACCTGTTGCATATGACCTAATAATCCACGTGAAACGTAGTAGAAATACGTTCACTGGGGCTTTCTTTCCTCAGTAACTAAAATATGCTTTCACAGTCACTTATCACAAGAATGAACGATAAAACAGCAATGATGATTAATGAATGAAATAATAATCGAGTCTCGAGTATCCGCGATTGGTGGATATTTGGGGGTGTTCTCGAGGACGAGCCACTGATTAATCTCAACCATTACGCAACACAAATCTGAATAAAGTCACAGATAAACAAAAATCTCAATTAATTAATCTGCAAAAAACAATTTAAAAAAAAACAACACCCCAAATACTGAATTGACACTAACCAAATGGAGCAAATACACCTAAAAAATCTTCCAGAGTACTGAGAATTTTTGCAAAGCCGATTAATAAAAGGAAACGCAGCCGAAAGTTATTTCGTTTTTGGGGCGTTTATCCAGGGATTTAATCGCGCGAATGTAATAAACCAGCAAATACTGAAAGGACACTCACCAATAGGAGCCAACACACGTGAAAAATCTTCTCTGGAGTCCAAAAAATCCAGAACCCCCCGAATTTTCGCAAAAGCGATTAATCAACGGAAAAGCAGCCAAAAGTTATTTTGATTTTTGGGCATTTACCCAGGGATTTAATTGCGCAAATGTAATAAACCAGCAAATTCTGAAAGGACACTCACCAATAGGAACCAATACACCAGAAAAATCTTCCCTGAACTCCAAAAATTCCAGAGCACTCAGAATTTTTGCAAAATCGATTAATCGAACGAAAAGCAGCCGAAGGTTATTTCGATTTTTTTGGGCATTTATCCAGTGTTTTAATCGCGTGAATGTAATAAACCAGCGAAAATACTGAATTCCCTGGCTACAAAGACGTTGTGAACTCAACGAAGAGGGAGAACGAACTAACGGACGAGGCACGTTTTAGCGAGCCACTTCGGCGTCTCCCGCCGAACACCCGAGCCACTTCGTCGTGACTGTATTTACTCAAGAAATTAAAAACAGGATCCTCTCACTCCGGTTGCGTGCGTGTGTGACGGGCACGAACCGCGGTGTTTTCCTCAGTTTCGCGGAGACTGGAGGGGGCCGTAAAATTAATTTTTACCGAGGATCAACTTGTCAATCGTTCTAGCCCGCCGAACACATGACAAGCTCAATCCAACTGTACAAGTTTTGATGTTCGACGGCGGAATTTATTTTGCGAAAACGTCATTCGGTAATGTACGGAAGTGTTCGGGTCATGTTCGGATAAAGAATGGAGAAGATGGTGGCGATATTCGGGGGGTGGATTCAGTAGAATTCTGGCGTATCTACCTGGAAGTGTTGTGGGGATTGTAGAGACATCTCTGAGGATTGTTCATAAAAATCGCGCTTCATGGGCGGCTTCAACTTCACTCGAGGACATTCGATGGTTTCAAGGTGATATTTTTATGGGGGAGTTGATGTGGTGAAGTGTTTAACGCTTCGGAGGGGAGTTCCATCGGAATTCGGACTGTTTGGGCGGTTTTTATGGAGTGGTGAGGCTAGAAGACGAGGTTGTGGGGTTATGTTTACAACTGTTGAAGCCACTTGTGCCTGGATGTGGACCTAGTGCCCTAATCACGAGCAGTTGTGTTGTTTTGTGAATATTCATCGATAGGACAGTTTGTAGGGGAATAATTTAACGCTGGGGAAGGGAGCTCCATCGGAATTCGGACTGTTGGACGGTTTTTGGGGAGTGAGAGAGGCAAGAAGACGAGTCTGTGGGGTTATGTTTACAACTGTTGAAGCCACTTGTGCTTGGATGTCTTGGATCTAGAGTTTTTACCACGAGTTGTTGTTGTTTATAAACATTTATTGGTAGGAAATTGATAGGGGTGAGATGGAGCCGGAGTATGATGAGGAGAGGGGGGGCTGGGGCGATGATATGGGGCGTGGGGACGATCCAGGGGGTGACGATCCTCTGGACAATCCCCAGGAAGTGCTCAATCAGTGTCTGGAGAAGTTCAAAACACCGGACTACATCATGGAGCCGGGGATCTTCACTCAGCTCAAAAGGTAGAGAATGTAAATTAGAGACCCATGAAAACATTAATTCTATTCAAGCATATGGACCCTTCTGAATCAAAATAATTTTTTTTGGGCCTCTCATTGTTTTCGGGCTTTTGAATAGAAATTCCTTAATCACAGTTGTGCTCTTCGTGGTTGACATTGTCAAAGTTACTCTTAGAATGTCAAGTAAATAATCCTGAAATTTTTAACGACTCATTTATATGAAATTTGCATATGTTCTGGTACTGACAAATCATTTAATTTCTGGAGTATTTGATTTAAATTATATTTTGCACGGAGTTATTATTTTTAAAAAAATTTGTTGTTTATAAATAAATAATTTAAATTGTTTAAACTTTCGCAAATCTCATTTTTTATAGTCATGAAAGCAATTTCCAGTAAAATTCTGAACATTAATAAATTTGTTACGATTCGGAGCGAATGATTTTCATGTTGGAAAATTGACTGTTTATAAATTATTTAGAGAAACTGCGCGTAATTTTTTGAAATTGTAATTTTTCAATTATTCCATCAATCTTCCTCTAAAAGTAAACTTTCTAATTTTTTCTAACGGTTCAATATCGCGATTCAAATTCAGACCTGCAAAGTTTAAATAATAAAATCATTCTAAAATGTTTGGAAATTTAGGGTCAAAACTAGAAAACCATTTCACTGAAAAAACAGCCGAAGTACTTGGATATCCCTGCAAATGACCCAATCCATCGAAAAAAGATTTTATTTTGCGTATTTTCCAAAACAAGCGTTTTCTCCCCAGATATTTCCAAGCAGGCGGCAACCCAGAGACGGTAATCGAGCTCCTCTCGAAGAACTACACAGCCTGCGCCCAGATGGCGAACCTCCTCGCAGAATGGCTGATCCTGGCAGGCGTCAAAGTGACAGATGTCCAAGCAATGGTGGAGAACAACCTGAAAGACATGATCCTGAAGACGTTCGACCCGAAGAAAGCCGACAAGATCTTCACGGAGGAGGGAGAAACCCCAGCCTGGCTGACCGAGATGATTCAGCACCCAACCTGGCGTTCCCTGATCTACCGCCTGGCCGAGGAGTACCCAGACTGCCTCATGCTGAACTTCACCATAAAACTAATCTCAGACGCTGGATTCCAGGGTGAGATCACCAGCATTTCGACAGCAGCCCAGCAAATCGAGGTTTTCTCTCGAGTACTGAAGACTGCAATCGCTGGATTTCTCCAGAACACTGAGGACTGGCAGACGAGTATAAAGGAATGCGCGAAGATGGTGTGCCATGGACAGCACACTTACGTGTACAGTCAGGTGTTACTGCAAATACTGGCGCAGGAGACGAGAGGTGGATTCATGATGAAGAGACTCTCCCAAGAGATAACAAAATGTGCCCAGCAGAACAGACACGACGTAACACCAATCACAATGGCTCTGAATGGAGCTGCTAGCAGCCCAGCTGCCTGCCTGGCCCTGGCATCAATGTTGTCGAGAAATACCCTGAATCCAGCTGACATCACTGTCCTCTTCAGACATTATTCCTCGACAGAGCCACCACCAATAGAACTAGTGAGAAATCCCCAGTTCCTGGAGCTCCTCGTGGATTCTCTCTTCAAGTCCGGGGTTAAACTCAACCCCGAGCACAAGTCCAAGTATATTTATCTCCTGGCTTATGCTGCGAGTGTCTGTGAAACCCTCCCCAGAAAGGGAAACACTAGGAAAGTGAATAAAGACGAATTGAAGACGACTATTCAAGCCATCGAGAAGGTCCACAACATCTGCAATGTCAATAAGGGATCCACTGAGTTGGTGGCTGAACTTAATACACTTTACCAGTCCATTCGGTTCCCAGTGGTGTCTGTGGGGATCATCAGGTGGGTTGAGTGCACTGTCACTGAACCCTCGTACTTCAAACTCAGCACTGAACATTGCCCTATTCATCTGGCACTGCTGGACGAAGTCGTTGCTTGTCACAATTTGCTGCATCCCAAAGTTCTGCAGTTACTGGTGCAACTTTTTGAGAGCAAACAGGATGAGCTGGAGATCCTCGTCCAGCTGGAGATGAAGAAGATGTTGATTGATAGGATGGTTAATCTGCTGAGTCGAGGATGCGTTGTTCCGGTTGTTTGTTATATTAAACAGTGCTGGCAGAGGGGAGACACTGATATTTCTTTGATCAGGTACGTCTCAAGCTTCATTCTAGGAAATATTTTCTTTAAAGAGGAATGTCGGGGAACTTATGGAGAGGTCTGATATTTTTTATTGAAGATGAGCTACTCCTCCCCAGGAATATCCTTTGATATTTTTCGATACAATCACTCTAAAAATATTCACGAAAAAATTTATGGCATTCTTTAATTTTCTTATTTTTCTTTGTCGTTTGTCACTTGCAGATATTTTGTTACTGAAGTACTCGAGGCAATAGCCCCTCCATACAGCCTGGAATTCGTACAACTATTTCTTCCAATGGTTGAGAACGAGGAAATCACTGGGACAATGAGGGGAGACAGTGATAATGATCTTGTTTCAGAATTCATAAGTGAGTTTGACTTTTGCTAATTCACTTTATTGATAACAATTATTTTTACATGACTTCAAAGATATTTCTTATCATTACAGTTCACTGCAAAGCCCATTGTCCTGTCGTGAGATGACGATTTAAAGATTGAATTTTCATGGTGTTCTTGATGGAGAGTAATTCTACGATCTGTGGGTGGTGTTAGATTATGTGGCCTCTGAAACATACGATCATTTCGCGTAAGAAAATATTTACTTTGGTACAGATATGATAATCACACATTCTTAAACGTTTTGTTAATTTTCGAACTTCACTCTGATGAAAATCGTTATTAGAGTTATTTGGTGGTTATTATTAGTTGAACACTCTCAAGACTGGGGAGTTAGGATTATTATCGGAGTTGTAGGGATGGGATTACGTTTCAGAGTGCAAATCTGGGACTCTTTGACTTACAATCATCGATCGATATCGTTAAGATCTCTCAGCTGTAAATAATTAGAGTAGTGAGGATAATACATTAAAATTATTTAAGAAAATTATTTGAATCATTTTGTAAGGCTGGTGGTCCAATAAAATGAGAGGAGTAACTCTATGTTTCTTCTATAATTTTCAGCTTATCGAGGGTTTTTACCATTTATAAACGTAATATCTACCGGCAAAATGAGGGAAATTGAATTTAACATTTTTGTTAATTGTCGGTTTATCTGAAAATAGGGATTTTGGGAGGAAATGTCAAGAAATATCTTGTAATGTTTTCCCTAGACTAGAATCACTCATTATCGAGATAATTTGGTATTCAACAAGAATTAGAAAATGGACTTGTTCTGTTGTGTTTTACAACTTTATTGTAAAACACAATAAAAAATTTCAAATAAAATGGAAACCTTTTTTTGCTGATGAAAATATTCAGCAAGAGATGTTCCTTAACTTTCCCTCTCAGAATTCCTCATCATCGAGATGAATCAATATTTAAAGAGAATTAAAATTTACTGAATCGACTTTTTACGTTTTACAACTTTATATTCAAGTTATCACTAAGAATTGACGAATTAACTTCTTCTATTGTGTTACATTTTTCAATTTCTAGAGAAATGATAAGATTTTAATTCAACATTTTTGTCAATTGTTTAAGCGTTCAATTGTCTCGACTTTGTATGAAGTGAGAGTTGAAAGTAACATTTTTGTTTTGTTCAATATTCAACAAGAATTGTCGAATTTATATCTTCTAGTTCGTCACCTTTTATCACTTCCCCCCTGAATTTCCCCAATTAACCATCAAAATACATTATCCAACTTACTGATAGGCTTTCCATCCTTCCATGAAGTGAACTTAACACTAGACTCCTCTCGCTTGGCAGCAGCAGCCCGAAACTCAGCCTTGAGTGCCTGGCGAACGAGTTTCGCAGCAATTTGCGAGTAATTGATGTAACTAAACACAAAAGACCCCCAAAACCATCAAAAACTGAATATAGCCCTTTAAAATTGATTGAAACAATGGTAAATAATCATAGGTTACATAATTTTTCAAACCACAATTACTCTGATAAAATAATTAATTCTTCTTTCACAATCAAACATGATGAGTCAATAAATAATTACGTACTTTAATCCAGCTTGTCTCCACGCCGACATTTTAGCAATTTATTGCTCCCTGTTTTCGGCAATCGAAAATGAGATACCAATCGAGAGACACAGGGCAATGGCTCTGTCCGTATCGCGCAGGCGCGGGTTTTCCTCTCGTTCACTTCCGATTTCTGGCCCGTGCTGCCCCCATTTTAGTCGAACTAGTTTGAATTGAAATCCCCCTTGTTTTATCGATTTCTATTCAAATCAACATTTTTTGTTAATTTACACAAATCTTGAATATTAAATCCAAATTTTGATTGAAATCGGGTGATTTTATTTGTAAAATCAACCGATGTCACTTGAATAAATTAAGAATTGACTGATGGACATTGAAATTTTAAAATTAATTGATAAACAATTGATAATTTAAATTCTCAATTGACGATGAATTAAAGAATTGACCATATGGAATTATTAATTGACTATTGAATAAATATTTCTCAATCTCCTAAAAGGGATTTTGGGATTAGCCAAATAATCGTCAATCTTCCGAACTCAATTATTGATTGATAAAATAATTCGCAATTTGAATATTTATTTGATGATTAATTTAATAATGAAAAAATTGGCGAGTAATATTAACAATTGACTCAAATTTACTTAAAATTTATCACTTGGTCAGAGGACATTGATAATTCAAGAGCAACAATAGGAAGACCTAAAATAATCACCTGTAGTTTATTGAATTTCCATAGGAATTTAATTCGAAGGACGCGTGTGCAATAAGAAACAAAATTTAACTTCAATTTTGGAAATTCCCTGGGCTTATTAATCCCCAAGGTTACGTTATTTCAAGGTGAATATTGTCTTCGCGCTGAGTTTTTCGGGTGGTCGTTAAATATTTAATATGTGACGTATAAATATTAACGCAACGAGTCATCATCGAGACGGAAAAATAAGGATAAACAGTTCGATTCATTTGTGGGAATTGAATCGTTGAATTGGTGATGGGAATTTCGGAGTGCTCAGTCTGAATTATTTAACGGTTCGATGATATAATGGGTGAATCGATGAGTGTGATGACTGTGGGTAAGGGGAAACAGTGATTTTGCCGCGATTCCTCGGGGCCCCCAAGTAGGCCATGGTTGCTTCTTCAGCGTTGGGACCGGTACAACGCACTCTGCGTCGCTTTTTTCCCCATTTTTTTTTCATGTCGTTTGGATTTTTACAAAGGACACGGATCGATATTGCGTAATGATTTATACGAGTGGCAAATACTTTATATGACTTGGCTCAATATTCGCGGGACGATACGTGTGCACAAGTCGTGATCGATGTGTTTTCGAGGGGAATTAGGTGGATGGAAATTTCTGATGTACTTGGAGGACATTAGACGCAAAATATCGCTATTTCGTTCTAGTTGATTCAGATAAGATTAATCGATTTCGTATGTCGAACAAAACTGCTGAGACTAATGTGTCCGGATCATTTGGAAAAGTGTGTTTGAAAAGTAGAACTTCTTTTTAGATTTCGTAATTCGGATTTCGAAGGTTAAAATTTAATTTTTAAATCTTTAATTTAGAGATTTAAATTTTTCAATCTCGTACAATTCTTATAGAATTTTAATAAAGTTTTTTTTTCATCAAATGTTTTGATACGAGGAGACGCTTTTTATGGGGAATTGCATAATTTACTTAAATTAAATAAATCCTAAAAAAACGTTTCTCAACAATTTCTCCCGAATTACCGAAAACCTTGAAAACATTGAATTAAACCATTTAAAACTTTAACTTGCCTTTATTGAGTTGAGCCACTTTCCTGCAGAATGTGTTTACAAAAATTGTTGTGCAGTACCCATAAATCTATTTCAGCAGAGCATAAAAAATGATAACTCTGAGGTGATAATCGATATTGTTTCTATTTTTGTAAGAAGTAACTGCGCATTTGCTTCACATTATTATCCACAATATTTCTAATTTCACACGGGTCTTAATATTTCCTCTCGTCATTATATAAACCCTCCGATGTAACAGATCATTCAATTTACGAAATTCCGAAAGACCTTTTATGAACGCCAGCAGCGTATCCACTATCTCATTGCGCAAATGAAAAATTGGAAATATATCACAGTTCCGTGGAGCATTGTTTGTCAACTCCTAGATGTGCGAAATAATCGGTCAAGTGCGTATATGGGTTTACGATCCGCGAGAGACCTTAACCCACCGCTTTAGTATCCATCGATGTATCTCTTTACCCTTGAGTATTCGCCGTGGCTATCGCGTATGCAGGCGCACGAAGGCGTCGGTGGTGAAGAGAAGCGCCGGTGGGAATAACATATGAAGTGATTAAAAAATGTCCGTTGGAATTGTTAACTAATGAAAGGGGATCGAACAGTGTCAAGTGTTGGGGCGAATGCACCAACGAATGAATATAAATAGATTGAATATAAATTTATCAGGTATTTTGCACACTGAGAAAAATCATTACTTTTTCCAAGGGATTATCCGCTTGGGAGAATTCGAATTATCAATGAACTCCACTGACAATTATTAGCATTTAGAATTATTTATTTAAAATTATTTTGTATTCTTTATTATTATTATTTTACGTAAGGAAATCTCAAATTTGAAAAAAATAGAAACATAATGAAGAGTGTTCATTTAATGTTTGTTAATAATTTAACATAATTGTAATATTTGGAGATCGACATGGTCTACCTGGGAATGACAAGCCTCGAGGAATCCTAAAAAATAAATTTTCTCCCAAGAAAATGATTCCTTAGCAATCGTATTTTTTTCTTCCCAGTGCAGATTCAATTTTTTGGCGATTAATGATTGAATATCACTGCTAATTTCTTCAGGAAAATACTTTGTTCCCCATTATTTCTCGAAAATGCAGACAAGTTCTGTTGATTTATTCAGGAAAATGAAAATTTGAGGCCAAAAATATGCAATTGGGTTCATAAAAACGTGACATGGGGACAGAGAAATGTCGGATTCTCAATTTATCGATCGATTTGTTGATAATTTTCAGTGGAAATTTACAAGTTCAAAAACTCGGTGTGAATTTTAAGGATCTTTAATTTAAAAATTGAGGCAAACATTCGCAACATCATTGTTGCAATCACAAATCGATCAATGGATTGATAAATAGTCTGAACCATAATTCAAGTAGAATTTTTGGAACGTGAATGTAGTGGAATTGTTTACTAATCTAAGGAGATCTCGAACCACGTCAATTGCTCCGGCAAATAGAGCCGCGATGAATGACTAGATTAAACACTGATCTTTCAGGAATTTTCCAGAATATTTTCTTCCGGTGACATTTCCTGCTAATTTTTCAGAAAAACAAATATTTTCTCACAATTTCGTGAAACTGGGATCAAATTGTGTTAAATTATCTGGAAGAATAAGAACTAGAGGCCAACAATATTCAATTCTGTTCACAAAATAGTGCAATAACGTCGTGGAACCGCAGTTCACATCCACAAATTGATTATTGCATCAATTAATTAATGTATAACCAGGTCGCAAGTGCATTGTCAACAATTGTTACCAGCGTCAATGAATGACTAGATCAAACCCAGAATTTTCAAGAACTTTCTAGAAGCAGTTACTCGCGGAATTGTTTTCCTCTCAAAAGCGGGGAGCGAGCAAACAAGGGACTCATCTTTTTCGCTGCTAAACCAGAAATTTTCCAGGCACATTGACGTATTAATCCTCTCCCACCCGGATGTGTGACACAAGACAATTTCCTATTTTCGTGCATCAGATACCGAAAAGTCTCAAAAAATGGTGGAACATCGAAAAAAAACGACGGAAAAACCGAGTGAAACAAAGTGACTTGTTCCGGTGGCATTTGCAAGTACGAGGGTACTTCCACAATTGCACAAGAATATTCATCTCCACTTCCGCTTCAATTCATTAACTAATTTAATTCCATCGTCCCAGTGTCTCGATGAATAGCATGACGAACGGTTTTGCCCATTCTCCTCTATTTTTTCAATTCTATTATACGTTTTAGGATTATGAAAAGCATCCAGATCAAATCGCATTTCCTCAAGGCGTGAATCAGTCTCACGCTCTTATCTTAATTGCCCAGTTATCCGTCAGCCGCAGCAGGTACACGTACATTAAACCAAGAAGTCTACAAACCGTGTATTCTTTTCAACATTATTCATCCGATTCGTTGTTTTTTCCTTCTACCCGAGGTCAGACGAATCGCTCCCTCGTGCCCAGAGCAATAAAAGTTTTTGATTTTCAAGGACATGCCGCTGATCTTCAGCAATCCGTCCCTAAATTTAGGAATTCACAGTTGGGAAATTCGACGCGTACAGAATTCTGGAATTCAGTGATTTTGCCGATAAATTATAGTGATGTCACTAGAAGAAAATATACTAGACAAACAAATGCCCGAAATTTTTATACAAAATCTCCCTATAAATGCTTGTCAGAAACATTTGATTGGAAAATTCAATTTTTTTCTCAGTGTATCACCGAATTTCAGTGATAGAAATAGCCGATGGTCCGGGTTACACTAGTCAGTGTCCAGTCCTCTCTTTAAAAATTTATTTCGCCAAAGTGTGGTAGACGTACGAATATTTAAAGTTTATTTTTGCTTGAAAATCGTCGTTTCATCACTTTTGCGTAAAGTGAAATTTTTATGGACACACTATACTATTCTTACACTATATATACTATTATATTACAACCAGAACGATCGCGCGCTTGAGCGCGCGTGTTAAAGACAAATCGTGACACGAAAACCGAAAGCCGACCGAAGTCGAACACGTGCGGGCGGATCCGAATGTTCGACCAATGAAATTCGAGGAATGAGCGTTAAGCTACAGCTTACGGCGAATGTTCTTTTTAGAATAGGATACTTTTGAGGGTTCTGAATAGCCCGTCGCTTAAATAGTTGGAATCAACGTTCACCCGGCTAAAAAATTTGATTTTGGCAAAAGTCCACTTTCTCCCTGGAAAAACGAAAAATCTGAACCTTTAAAAATCTGAAAAAAAAAACTTTTTCAGTTTTCACTTTTTCCATATACTTTTGAGAGTTCTGAATAGCCCGTCGCCTAAATAGTTGGAACCAACGTTCACCCGGCTCAAAAAGTCGATTTTGGTGAAAGTCGACTTTCCCCCTGGAAAAACGGAAAATCTG